ATAAACTACAAAACAAGATTTAGATATTCAAAGTGCTTTTTTACAGACCTTTAAAGTTGACTCGTGTCACAGTTTTGGTTGTTAGTGTATATAAGATTTATTTTAGTTATTTCCTTTTATCATATTAATAATATTATTAATTTTATTAGATTCCTGACTAGCACATTTGAGTGGTTTTGAAGTGTTTCTTGTATTTCTTAGCCTGATCTTTTAAAATATCCCCTACTTTGTACACCATCATGTCCTGGATACCATTGATGAGAAAGAAGTCTGTGGCACTAGGAGTGATGTACAAAAACTCCAAGTAATGGGTAATATGTTGGAAAGCCTGTTGCTAAGAGCTAGTCACTGCGTTGGCGAAATTTGGTAAATTCATATAAAATAATATAAAATAAAAGGTAACAATATTTGGTTATTGGGTTGAACCCATGACTCAGCGATAAGCATCAGGTCGAGATTATGTTTTTGAAGAAATTGTTTCAATTCTTCTGTTTGTACCGTAATTCCGCTAGCATTCTATATACTAAGGCTTAGATTGTGGATGTTCATACTTTGGAATTTATAAATTTTAAGCATACAATCGTGGACATAAGTATTTTGACATAAATAAAAATTCACATTTTGTGTTATAAACTCTAATTTATTTACCCTTTAAAAAATATTAATGAAATATATATATAAAAATAGTATAATAATACAATAAAAAACAACAAAAATATTACATTTCATATTACATCTTATAAACTAGAAATACAAATTCATTAAAGTGAAGGGCCAAATGTATTTTGACATAACATAATTTGTTAGAAAATTAATGTGAATGAAATATAAATTAATAAAAAATAAACCCTCCCTTGGCATCTATACCTTTTGTAATCGTGCAGGAACAGATTTCACTAAATTTTTAAGTGTTTAAAGGGATATTTCCTCCCATAGTCCTTCGACTTCATCAATTGTCTCCTCTAGAGTTCTTGTTAAGTTTGGACTCCTCTTACGTTTTATGTAAGCCCACACATTCTCTATAATGTTAAGATCGGGACATTGGGGTGGCCAATCTAAAAATTTCACTTCCAAGTCCCTCAAAAATGCTATCATTTTTTCTTTATGGCATGGAGCATTATCCTGTTGCAGGATAGAGTCTTGTCCAATGAGTCTGCCGCCGGCAAGCAAAGCGTGGTGATTCAGGATACGAAAATAGTGTCCTTGATTCATCGTCCCATTAATGGGGACCAAATCATCGATCCCGTTAAAACAGACTGTATCCCCAAAACATGACACTGCCGTTACCATGTGAGATACGTTGTGTGGGAGTCTGTACCTCCGGTGATCTCTGAGAGCGAGAGAGCGACCCATTATGACTCTCAATAAGGCCATACTTTGACTCTTGTCAATTCTTGTAATCTAATCTTATTCTTACAGCCGGAGTGAACAGACCACCGCGCATAAATATATATTTGAATATAATTAACAATTGTTTCTATTATTGGTATGGTTACCGGGTAATACATTGGCGACGAGGTAAATAATACTTAATAATGAAACTAAAAGGAAATAAAATATAAATAGAAAAAAAAAATAAACGCAGAAAAAAAAAAGATTCGCAATTTTCAATTGCACTATCTTTTGGCACGCCGTTCGTCATGTAGACATAGAACTGGCGTTGACACACCGGCATACATACATACATGTGTTGTATACGTGTATGCATGTTGCACACGATACATGTATGTACATGTGCCCAGCCAGCAATTGGAAGATTGTTTTTGCATTAAGCACCTTGATGAGTCTTCTTCGAGTCGTTGAAATGATTGAAAAAAGATTCGTTTTATTCGCGACTAGAAAATGACTCGAAAATGAGTCGCAAATGATCTTCAAATACGATTTATAAAATAGCAAAAACAAAATTGTAAAGCAATCGAAAATTGGTCATCCAGATGATTGAAATGAGATTTTTTGTTGCTTTGCATTAACATTCGGTGAAAGAACTTGGAGCTTAGTCGCGCTAGGGAGACACCCTTGGTTTTCTGCTCTCTGCCTTATCTCGTTGATCTTTTTCAAACTGTACTTTTCACCAAATTTGAAGTGGTTGCTGCAATTTTCTGCATTTTTAAACTCACTTTTAGTAACTTTGTGAGCTCAGTGAGATTAGGTAAGGTAAAAGAATATGTCGTCCAAAAATATTAGAAAATTGGCAAAAAAACAAGCCAAAAAATTATTAAGCAAAGACATTGTGTTGTCTGCATTAAAAAAAAATGAATACATGGCAGATGACACAAATGAAGAACTTGTCGCAGAAAATAACTATGAAAATTATAACGACCCAAGCGCGTCAAGTGAAAAATGTTCTTCTATGAGTGATTTCGATAGTGAGAGTGAAATTGAAAGTGAAAGTGAAAACGAAAAAATAAGTTTGTCCAAAGAAATTTCAACGTTTTTCTTGTTGGCGTGTATGAAGGAACTTCTAAGCCAAGTTGCGCGATGGAATATTTACAAGAATTTATTTCTGAAATGACAATTGTTATGCAAGAGGGTTTTTTGTTTTCGAATAATTTGTACCAAATCTCTGTTCGCTGTTTCGTAATGGATGCACCGGCAAAGTCTTATATTTTGGGAACTAAGGGACATAGTGGATACTATTCATGTGGCAGGTGTACTCAAAAAGGACAAATGGTTAAACATCGTCTTATTTTTCCACCAGAAACCACCAATTCACCTAGAACTAATTATTCCTTCAGAAATAGGACTCAGCCCCAACATCACTTAAAGCAATCTCCATTAGAAATTTTAAATATTGATATTATATCACAATGTTCTTTAGATTACATGCACGTTGTATGTTTAGGTGTGATGAGGACATTGTTGAATGCATGGGTAAAAAAAAAGGGTGCAGACTTTTCTTTAACATCGTGGAAAATCGAATCTATATCAAAAGAGTTGCATTTTAATAGAAATAACATGACAAGGGAATTTAAAAGAAAACCTCGAAGTTTAAAAAAACTAGACAGATGGAAGGCAACAGAGCTCAGACAATTTATACTTTATACTGGACCTTTCATATTAAAAGAAGATCTTACTACAGAAAGATATGCTCACTTTTTAAAATTATTTTTAGCCTTAAGAATTCTTTTAGATAAATATGACTGTGGGCTTAACAACTCATGTGCTGAAAATCTTTTAAAATCTTTTGTGTTTGATACACCAAGGTTATATGATTTGTCCTTCATAACTTATAATTTTCATTCATTATTGCATATTCATGAAGATGCCAAGCTTTATGGATCTCTAGAAGGTATAAGCGCATTTAAATTTGAGAACCATTTAAATAAAATTAAACGAAAGGTTAGGAAAGGAGATAGTGTAGCAGTCCAAATTTATAAAAGACATGTAGAAAGTAGCTATAATTTAGAGAAGGAAATAGGATATGAATTACATGCTAGTTTTGGAAAAACTAAAAAGGGAAAAATATTAAATGTAAATGTGAAATGTGTTGTTTTCTCAGTCCGAGAACCCGATAATTTTTGTTTGGTAGGAAATAAAGTTCTTAAGATTACTGAAATAAAGAACTGTAATAATATGCCAGTTTTTTTTTGGAATGGCAGTAAATAACTTGACGCAAGCTTTTCTTCAACCAATTGAGTCGAATAATTTTCAAATGTTTTGTGCGGCTGATATAACATTTGATGACAAAATTGAGTTTTCAGTAAACGATATTCTTAAAAAAATTATATGTTTACGTAATTCTTCGACCCTTAGTTTCTTTTTTACACCCCTCGTGCACAATGTCTGAGAACCATTATTCTTCTGAAAATTTCCAATACACACAATTGAACAATTCAACATCATGTAAGTAGAGCATAATTAAATACAATAACTTTTAATAACGATATTATTTTTAGTGCAAAATGATGCCAGATTTGATAAAATTACTAATATTTTACTGGAAATACAAAAAGAAAACCGAATGTTAAAGGCTGAAGTTGTGGACCTAAAGCTTTCTATTACCAAATTGCATGCATGCAAATTGAAATAAATAAAACAAGAAAATGTGCGAAAGCGAGAGATTATCTGACAAAGATCAGAGACAGTTAGGCCCGAACTAAGCTGACAAAGGTCAGAGACAGTAATAATAATAATAATAATAAAAAAAAAAGAAAAGGAGTTATCTGAAAATGAGTTTTCAGAGGCAGTTAGCCATACATGTATGTATGTACATACATATGTACTAAGCTGACAAAAGTCAGAGAAAAAAAAAGAAAAAAAATCATACATATTTTTAGTAAAGTAGGTACAGTTAGATACGAACTAACTGGAGTCAGTGACAGAATGAAACGAAACTCAGTTTCATTTCGACGAAGAGGAACAAAATTATGTATTTCAGGTGTTGGTGGAAAAATTGACAGCGTTCTTCTCACCCAAACAAAACTCGTCGTTCGAAAGACACATGTTCAGGAGTTTGATTCCATCTGGCGACGAAAGTTTTGCCAAATTTGTTTTGCGCCTAAGACAACAAATTAAGAGGTGCGATTTTGGATCAACGAAAGCTGACATCGAAGAGATTTGTCTTAAAGATAAGGTAATCGACGCTTGGGCATCAGGAGATTTAAAAAGGAAATTATTAGAAAAAGAACTGGATGAAAGAAAAGATTCACTGGATGAAATACTCGAGGCATGCCAAGTTGACGAAGAAATAAGAAAGGAATAAGCAATGATGACAAAGGGTACAGAGGAGCCGGTAAACAGAGTCGTGACAAGTAAACCGAAAGGAAATAGACGGAACTTCGAATGCGAGAGATGTGGACGTACTGGCCACAAAGATGACTGTCCTACTTGTCCAGCTCGACAGTCGAAATGTAATCGGTGCGGTCGGCTGGGCCATTTTGGACGGAAGTGCAGGACGAATTTAAAAAGACAGAACTGCCAATGGAGATCTACTAACCCAGGTGAAACGGGCTCCTACACTAAAAAACCGAAAACGGAGGATTGTTTCAAAATAAATTGTGATGAGCAAGAAGAATGCCTCAAATGCAAAGTCGGGGGGGCAGACATATGTATCTCTGATCATTGATTCGGGGTCTCGCTATAATCTCATCTGCCAAGACGACTGGTCCACTCTAAAAAGGAATAAAGCCACAGTGTTCAATGTTCGTCCTAACTCACAGTACCAGTTCAAAGGATATGCTTCGGACCAAATTTTAAATGTAATTTGCGTATTTGAGGCACCAATTTCTGTCGGTAAACAGGCTGAAATGATTGCCTCCTTTTTAGTCATTGAAAAAGGACAACAGTCATTGCTGGGACGAGAAACTGCAATTAAGTTGGAAGTGCTACGGCTGGGTCTGCAGATAAATCATATTGAGGAGGTATCGGTTTTTCCGAAGTGGAAGGGCGACAGTGTCAAGTTGGCAATGGATCAGGACATAAAACCAGTACAACAGCCCATGCGAAGGATACCAATTGCATTAGAAGGAAAGGTGCGCGAAAAGACTCAGGATGCTCTAAAGCGTGATATTATTGAACCTGTAAATGGCCCAAGTGCCTGGATCTCACCAATGGTTTTAGTTTTCAAAGAAAATGGAGACATTCGACTATGCCTGGATTCGATATGCGGCGAGCAAATCAAGCCATTTTAAGGGAAAAATATCCTTTACCGACGTTTGAAGCGTTCATGACTCAACTCAGGGATGCTAGATACTTCTCCAGGTTAGATCTCAAGGATGCATACCACCAACTCGAGCTACATGAACAAAGCCGAGCAATAACAACGTTTATAACTCCGTTAGGATTATTTCGTTACAGGCGATTAATATTTGGAGTCAACTCGGCACCAGAGATTTTCCAAAGGAGGCTTGAGCAATTATTGTCGGGTTCCTCAAATGTCCTAAATTACATAGATGACATCATTGTTTTTGGAAAAACTGAGGACGAGCACGATGAAGCATTGAAAAGAGTTCGGGGCATTCTAAAAGAAAACAACGCAGTATTAAATGAAAAGAAATGTGTCTACAAAGCTTCTAAATTACATTTTTTGGGTCACATTTTATCGAATCATGGCATCGAGGCCGATCCGGAAAAAATTAACACCATCACATCTTTTCGACCTCCAAAGAACAAGGAGGGGACTTGCAGTTTTTTGGGCCTTGTAACATATGTAGGAAAATTCATTCCAGAGTTAGCAAATAAAACTGACCCATTGCGACGACTGCTCAAAAAGGACGAGAAGTTCACCTGGGGTGCTCCGGAACAGGATGCGTTTGATAAACTGAAATCGTGTCTGGCGAAAATTCCTAACTTGCAGTATTTCAATCCAAAGCACAAAACACAGTTAATTGCAGACGCCAGTCCGGTTGCATTGGGAGCTGTATTGCTGAAATTTCATGGAGACGATGAACCGAAAATAATATCTTTTGCTAGTCGAAGCCTGACAGATGTCGAAAAGCGCTATTCGCAGACCGAGAAGGAGAGCTTATCATTAGTTTGGGCAGTGGAAAAATTCTTCTATTATCTAGCTGGATTAGAGTTCGAACTAATAACCGATCATAAACCACTAGAAACCATTTTTAAACCATCTTCGAAGCCTCCAGCGAGAATCGAAAGATGGCTCCTCCGCCTCCAAGCTTTCAAATTCATTGTTAAATATAAAACCGGAATAGAGAATATTGCGCATACTTTTTCTCGTCTATCCAAATTAAACCCAGGATATTGTTACGACATGAAAGGCGAACATAGCATTCTCCACGTAATCGAAAACGCGACTCCGTCGTCCATGACGATCGCTGAAATTGCAGAGAAAAGCATTAACGACGAGGAGATTGTAGATGCAATGTCGTGCCTGCAGGACGAATCGTGGAACGCTTCATCGTCAAACAGTCTGTCTCTCACTTACTGAATCCATCATGATGCGAGGAACCCGCATAGTTACTCCAAAAGCGTTAAGACAGGCGATTCTAACGTTGGCACACGAAGGTCATCCGGGAGAGTCAGCGATGAAGCGACGATTAAGGTCCAAGGTATGGTGGCCGCAAATAGATCGAGACGCGGAGAAATTCGTCAAATCATGCAGAGATTGTATAATGGTATCGCAAGCATTAAACCCCACTGCTATGAAACGAACCACATTTCCAGAAGGACCGTGGATTTTTGTGGCTACAGACCTTTTGGGACCGTTACCTAACAACGAGCACATCCTAGTTTTTATCGACTACTATTCAAGATACATGGAATATAAATTTCTAAAATCGATCTCATCAACGTCATTGATCAGTACCATGAAAGAAATTTTCACCAGATTAGGCTACCCTAAAAAGCTGAAAACTGACAACGGAAGACAATATGTGAGTGCAGAATTTAAGGAATATTGTAAGCAATGCGGAATCGAGCAAGTAACATCGCCACCTTATTGGCCTCAAGCCAATGGGGAAGTTGAGAATATGAATCGATCGTTAGTAAAAAGGCTAAAAATTGCATACACCAACAAGAAAAATTTCAAGGAAGAAATACAATCATTTGTTATGATGTATAATGTGACTCCCCATGGAACCACAGGGTCTGCACCAACGGAATTAATGTTCAATCGAGTAATAAGGGACAAGATTCCGGGGGTGCAGGATTTAATGGGAGAATACAGTGACTCAGTAGAAAGAGACCGTGATTTAGTAAACAAACAGAAAGGCAAAGAATAAGCCGACAAGAGGAGAGGAGCCAAAGAAATTAATGTTGAAGTGGGAGACAAGGTTTTTCTTAAAAACGTAATCTTTCCCCACAAGCTTACACCAAATTTTGACACCACCAAATACGTCGTAAAAGGAAGAGAGGGAGACATTATAAGAATAACAGGCGGGGGAAAAACTTTAACAAGGAATGTGAGCCATGTGAAAAAGATTCCACAAACACAACCTCCAGCTGAGACCGAAGATCACTCTCCACCCTCCCGAAGCACAGGTGACGTTCTGCAGCCTTTAAATTTCAGGACACTGGATGAATCAAAACAGATGGAATCGACGTCTGAGACGACATCGGCACCCGGAGAAGGATTGAAGCTGAAGCTCATCAATAAGGGAGGGATGTGGGAGTCTGTACCTCCGGTGATCTCTGAGAGCGAGAGAGCGACCCATTATGACTCTCAATAAGGCCATACTTTGACTCTTGTCAATTCTTGTAATCTAATCTTATTCTTACAGCCGGAGTGAACAGACCACCGCGCATAAATATATATTTGAATATAATTAACAATTGTTTCTATTATTGGTATGGTTACCGGGTAATACACGTTGAATTACAGGTCGCACTTTCTTGCGAATATTTTCGGGTAATCTGCAGTAGATTTTATTTTTTGATCCATGGTACTCAAAAGAACTCTCATCGGTCCACAAAATTTGTTCCCAAAAATATTGAGGCTTGTTAACATATGATTTGGCAAAGGCTAATCGTTTCAACTTATTTTTAGGTGAAATGAGAGGTATGGGACGGGCCACATAAGTAGCAAAGTTAGCCTCTTTCAATCTTCATTCAACTGTTTTTCTACTAATTGAAATATCATAGTCTAGTCTATCATAGACATATCATTTAACGTCCATTGAAGCAGGTTTTGGTGTGATAAGGACATCATCTTTAAATTTTCCAAGGATTTTCAAGATCAACGATCTTGTCTAGGCGTAGTTTTGCGTGGTCGTCCTTTTCTGACTAAATTATCTTTTTCAATTTGTCAGTTTATGTTTGTTAATTTGATAGTAAATAGTTTGTCGGGGTACTTTATAAAATATGCTCATGCCCTGGACCGAAATACATATGTACCTGTGTGATACTTAATTACTATTTCGTTTCGCTGGATTTGGCTTAGCTCCCGTGTTTTACCCATATTATAATTAAATACCGGTACAGAAATTTAAAAAATTGACAAAAAAAAGCTGGTATTAAAGCTGCTAGGTTTATAAGCTGGAGTTACAAACAAATGAGAACTGATTGAATGCAATGTCAAAATATTTTTGTCCACCCAAAAATGCATAATCTCTCACATCACAAAGCAAAGAAATTAATTTACTTATCAGTGCCATCTTTTGCACTCCTAAAGCTATAAATAGAATCTCTTACTGGAAAGTGAAATGGATCCCGTATCTTTTACGCGTACAGAGAGATACGCGATGGAATAAAGCTATCCGCTGTGTCAAAATACTTAGGTATGTCCACGATTTTAGTTGTCTAAGCAACTGGTTTGTGTCTTGCAGTTCTTTCAAAATGGCTTGGATGGTATCCACCTTCGCTTTGAGGGCTTCCATAGCTGCATCAAGATTGAAATTCTTTCTATTGGGGAGCTTACTATTTTAAAACAGTTGCGAAGAGCATTATAATACGAGACATTTTCCCGTACATTAGTCGCAGGGATTCTCTCTGAGATCAAATTTTGTGTAAAAAATAATATTAAGCGCATACGGCAAACCTTTTCTGAGTAAAAAAAATGTTAAAAAGTGGAAAAAACTCTTCCAAGGCGGCCGGGAAGATGCCAATGACGAGGCCTCGCTCTGATAATTGACGAAAACGTTCAAGCAGTGAAGAAAATTGTTTTGGAAAATCGTCGAATCACTATCAGAGAAGTTGCTAAAGATGTCGGTATATCGCATGGCTCGTGCCATGACATTTTTTCAAACGTTTTGGGCGTAAGTCGTGTGTCAGCAAAGTTTATTCCGAAATTGCTGAATTGAACCCAGATTTACTCAAAAGGGGCATAACTGGTGACGAATCATGGGTATATGGTTATGATATCGAAACCAAAGCCCAATCGTCCCAATGGAAGAGCCCAGGTGAGCCAAGACCGAAAAAAGCAAGCCAAGTTCGAAGTTCGCCAAGCTCTCTCTGCTTTATAATGTCAAAAACCAGCTGCGAACACCTCCCCAGAAAGATCCGTAAACACAAAATAACATCAACAAAAATGCTGAAGGATGTAATTGTGGAGGAATGGGGCAAAATTACTGCAGAGGAGACCAAAAAATTAGTCGATTCTACGCCGAGACGCCTTACGGAGGTTTTGCAGAGAAAGGATACCCTACTAGTTATTAAAAGAAGTAAACTTCCAATTAAAAATATTTTTTTCTTGGCTGTACGCAGACTTTTGCGTGTACATTTTTTGGTAGTGCTAAGTTTAAAATTAAGATTTAAATATAAGACATTGTTGAATTAATTTGGAAAAAATACGTCATTGAAGACAATAAATTAAAGTTTTGTTTAAAAAAAAATTGAATATATGAATAAATGGCCAATCTATTGGTGTTTAAAGATTGAAATTGAAATTTTCGAGGGGTGTACGCAGAGATATGCGAGTGAGTGATCACTGGCAAAGATTTGATCACTGTTTTCTTCGATTACCATGGCGTGGTGCATCAGGAGTTCTAACCATATTGGTCGTAGGGTCAATAAACAGTATTATCTGGAAGTTATGCGCCGTTTGCGAGAATTGTGGAAAAAGAATTCATAGATTTGCATCACGATAATGCCCCTGCTCACTCATCTTTGCTTGTGAGAGATTTTTTGGCCAAAAAAAACATCACAATAATGCCTCAGCCACTATATTCACCGGATTTGGCCCCATCTGACTTTTTCTTGTTTCCAAAACTAAAGAGAGCTATTGAAGAAAAAAGTAAAGAGGCGATTGAAGAGATGAAGATTTGCTTTGAGGATTGGAAAAACCGTTGGCATAAGTGTATTTTATCTGAGGGGGATTACTTTGAAGGGGGCAATATAGATATTGATGAACAAATTAATAGTTTTTCTTGAAAATACAAAGTCACCTTACTTTTTGAACGCACCTCGTATACTATACTAAATATATACCATATTCAAAACTTCAAAATCATGTTTCAAATTATTATGACGCTAAATTTTCAGTTAATCCCGTTTTTGAAATATTAAAAATTAAAAGATTTTGAGAAAAAGGTACGAGCCGTAGAAATGGCCAGGGAGCGTAAGGTGTGCGACGGTTGCAACAAGGCGTTTACCCTGTAGGTGTGTTTTGTGTCCATGCCAATAAATTTAATATTTTGGTCCCGACATGGCCAAAGTTCGTAAAGATCGACGTACGGTTCAAAAAAAAAAAAATGATAATTTAGCTCATCCTTTTTAAATGCCGATCCCTCTTTGATCCCGGTTTTTATTAACTCGGGACTGAGGGTAAAAACTGCAACAAAAAAATAATATCTCCCTAATGTTAGGGAGCACCGATCCGCGCTGTTCATATTTTCAACATTTTCCTAGGGTTCCTGCCCCTCAAAAGTATAGCTGTTATGGGCCGGTTGGCCGACCAAGGGGTGGTGGAGACCACCCGCCGGTGGAGACTTCTTCCAACAGAATATAATCCCGACTGGGGTTTGAATTTAAAAATACCCGAGTTTAAATCAATCATAAAAAGACCGCTCACATCACAGCTTTTAAGAAATGACCCCAATCTAAACGTCCCTCCATATTTAAGAACCTCCCGCTTATTTTCCCTGATTATTATTCCAACTAGGGTAGTCTATTATCTTAACCGGTAACACCTAGTTTTCGTAGCGCCACCTATTGTACATTTCTTGCACGCCAAGGTACACAAGGGTGATCTGTCCACTCTAAGGAACGGTTCCTAGAAATTTCATAAGTAACGGCCATTTGATCCCAATAATGCAGTGATATTATCTTATGTTTTCATTTTCACACATGTATACTGTGTGTGTGTGGCAGAGCTCGGGCAGAGAAATTTCCTATGCCCCCCGAGATAGGGCCGTGCCGACCTCTGGTGTAGAGTTAGCCAAGTGACGTACTATCACTCGATAAGCTTTGTCTTCTTTAAGCTGAGAAATGTAATGCGTTTTTTTTCCTTCCTTCAAAAACGCCTTCAACTTTAAACATACAGTTTTCAGGACCAATGACGCCTCCATTTCTTTCTCTTTCTATAGGTACATCCATGATTTCTCCATGAGGTATTTTCCATAAAAATTGGCGGATGCTTTTTTAGTTTGAGACTTACGATGGGCATCTCTTGGTCATCTCGTCAGCTGGTTCCTCAGCCAGAGCAAGTTCATGATCTGTTACAGGTTCTTCCTCATTTGCTAATAACGAAGACGTTGGTATGGATCCGTTCGATGACGTTGGTACTTCCCGGATCGGATTCGATGACCGGCGTGGAAGTCTTTTGAAACTGAGTTTGCAGCTTCCGTTTTTAAAACAGCCGTTCGCCATTTTCGTGTAGTTGGCAGAGCTTGTTCCAGAATACTCTTGGATGCAGTTTCTGATGTACTGGTATGGGTCAATATGCTTGAAGTGGAGCATACTCCTCCAATTTTTGTATTCGTGAGTGGATAAGTACTTCGTCCGGCAGTTGATGTCATCACTGAGCCTGTAGGTTGGCAATCTTCCTCCAGAAGTGGTTCCTCCATATTCCTCCATAATCGAATTTCCAAGAATTTCGATCCTGCTTCAGTTAAGGTAGTCGATACTATTAGTGCCCTGCCCTGAAGTATGCCCCACCAGATTGTCTTGAAGAATTTCAGGAGCTCTTTAAAGTATGCAGTTGAGATCCAATGGTTTGCTGTCCCAGGAAACAGGGCTCTTAACAGGTGCTCCCGGTTTCGGAAACGGCCCTTGGGTTACCTTATGAAATTAGTCGAAACTTTCAAGTGGTACTTGTACCCCACACCCGCTGACAAGGGCAGCTCTTAACTTCACCTCCGTAAGGAGAAGAGACGTAAGGAACTTGGAGAAACCCTTGAAGAATGAGGGAAATGAGGCGTTCAGGAAACGCCTTAAAAATTATATTAAAAATTTTAAATGGCCTGTTTAAACGTCCATTCCGTCTTTATTTATCAACACGGGGGCTGGCATGTGGGCCGCCGCTTACAATGCGTTTAACAATCAAATATCTTACATAACTAATGAAAAAAAAAATGTTTAAAAGGACGAGTAGAGGGAATATCATAGATTCGTCCTGTGAAATCTTCAACACTCGACTGCGAAATCGGTCCGGCATTAAGTATAATTATATGTTCTGTTATGCGTGTATTGATATCGGTCACTAACTACTCTAAATCTTATAAGATATGGACCAATCGAGCGACTAATCGAGACCTATATGTATGCCTAAGGACTAAATATTTCCAAATTCTTATATAAATGCAATTCTAACTCTAAGAAAGGCCTAATCTTGAGCCAAAATTGATGGTCATTGTGTGTAACAATCGAAGCCTCCCAGCGGATCTCCGAGAGTGAAAAAAAAAAAAAAAATCACAAACGAAACTTAGAAGCTAACAGATCCTGTTTAGTCGGAGAACTTCTCCTTGAGCTCCCGGCGAAGGATCTTGCCGGTGGGATTCTTGGGCACCTCGTCGACAAAGATGACGCCGCCCTCTAGCTTCTTGTAGTGAGCCACGCGCTCGGCCACATAGGCGGCGATTTCCTCGGCGGTGGCCTTCTGGCCCTGACGCAGCACCACTATGGCACGTGGCGCCTCCCCGTTCAGCTCGTGGGGAATGCCAAAAACAGCCGCCTCCAAAACCTTGGGGTGATCCCGGAGCACGGCCTCCAGTTCGGCGGGTGGCACCTGGAAGCCCTTAACCTTGATCAGCTCCTTCATGCGGTCGGTGATGTAGAAGAAGCCCTCCTCGTCGTAGTAGGCCACATCGCCGCTGCGCAGCCAGTTGCCGGGATAGAAGGTGACCTTGTTGGCCTCCTCGTTGTTGAGGTATCCAGACATCACCTGAGGGCCGCGAATGCACAGTTCGCCGCTGGACCGGGGACCCACGCCCTTGGAATCGCTGCCATCGAGGGGCACGATCTTGGCCTCCGTGCTGGAAGGCAGCACGCCGGTAGAAGCATACCGGGTGTTACCATCGGGAGTAAGCAACACCACGGGCGAGGCCTCGGTCATGCCGTAGCCCTGCTTGAAGACGGTCTTCGGGAATCTGGGAGAAGGGAGAAGCTCCATGTGAGCAAGTAAAGGAAATACATACAAAATGTGGACTTACTTTTTGAGGAAGCGCTCCACATCGTGTTCTCCAATCGGAGCAGCTCCGCTCATCACCACCCTCAGTTCAGGGGCCGTCTCCTGGGTCAGCTTGGGATGGTTGATCATGAACAGGGCTGCGAATATGAGAGAACGATGAATATTACAAACCATCCAAGCTATGAGAAGTGGATTGGCCCCCCCAAATGAAATGACTTTCGATAACAAAAGATAATGCTATTCCTGGTTGCCCATAAAAGTGGTATTTTGGAAATACCTTTATCAGAATGAACTAATCTTAATTTGTATAAACAATTTCTCAGTCTTTTTGTTTTGCACTTTAATTGGAAAAAGCCTTCTGAACCGGTTCAGCAAGGTTGTTAGAAGCTCATTTCAATTAAAGCCGGTTTTTGGACTATGCGAGCAGGCAAGCATTTAATTATAGCAATGTTTGATTTGTTTAAATAAATTATAGTAGCACCGTTTCAGCACAGAAACCTGTTTGTTATTCTTTCTTCAAAATGTATCCTTAAGATAGCTTTTATAATTACTGGAATTACTTAGAACTTTGAGATACGAAGCTATAAGACTAGAAGTACCCGTTACTTACCAATTGGCGGCACCAGGTTGAGGAAGCTGCCCTTGTACTTGTCCAGGGAGCGCATGAAATCGTCCGGCTTGAAGCAGGGCATCGTAGCCAGGCGACAGCCCTGGCCCAGCTTGGAGAGCATCACCACTGTGAGGCCGTAGATGTGGAAGAAGGGCAGCACCGCCGGCAGCGTGACCTGCGGCCCGTTGATGTCCAGCGGCAGCGAGGCCTGGACCTGCTCGCAGTTGCTGCTGATGTTGTTGTGGGAGAGCATGACGCCCTTGGGCAGGCCGGTGGTGCCCGAGGAGAAGGGCAGGAAGACCATGTCGTTGGGGGTGGCGTCCTTCGGGGACTGCAGATCGTCGTAGCGGATGTTCTGGGTGCTGGTCAGCTCGCTGAAGTCGATGGCGCCCTCGGGCAGGGCCTCGCCCGGGCTGGTGCGGATGACGGCGATGGGCAGCTTCTTGCCGGCCAGCTGGCAGGCCTGGCTCAGGGTGGGAAAGACGGCCGCAGTGCCGACCAGGAACTTGGCTCCGCTGAAGGTCAGCTGGCGGGCGATCTCGTCTGCAATGGAAATGGTAATTGGCACAATCAGGGGCGATCTTTCGACTTTGGAACCCGATGGCTGCTAATGCCAGATGTCGCCACCCCCCCGGCCAGATAAGGCGCAGTGAGTCTTGACGCACTCAAGAGGCCCCCCCAATAAAGTATATGTAGACCATTTAGGAGCAGCCGTGTCCGTCCAAATAGCCATAACCGGCCAGTGCGTATTTGGCCAATAGGCTGCACAGCATTGCCTCCAATTGGGTTATGGGGGTGCGCCTAAGGCAATTCTCCAATCATAACGACGATGTCGTAATGCCAATCTGTATAATTACTATAAATGCCCGGGCTCATATGCCCGAATGCACCTCTTTATGGAGTGGGGTTTATAAGCAGGTGTTTCGTTAACTGATCACCTTGCTGACTCCCCTCTGGAGATGGGGACTTATGGCCAGAGCTATAATCCAATTGCTCTCCCGAATCTTTACAGCTCCCCCGGCGGGGTCTGTGTAAACAAACCTTTAGACTTTGTCTCCAGATTAGGCGCCTTTTTCGGACAAAACAACAGCTGCTAATGCTACACAAGTACAAGTATCTTATCATTGCCGGCACTTGGAAAACAAAACACCCCAAGAACGGAGAATGGAAAGTGGACTTACCCGGCGTGTAGATGGGATTCACGGTGGTCACCGTGAGGCCGGCCTCAATGGCGCCCAAGGTGGCGATGGGATACTCCGGCAAGTTGGGCAGGCAGACGCCCACCACGTCCGGCTTGAAGAGCTTGAACTGGGTCTGCAGGCGCACGGCGAAGGCGGCGCTGGCATCGCGCATCTGGGCAAACGTATACTGCCGGTCGGTGATGACACACACCTGGAAAAACCCCAAGAACACCGTTTAGAAAATCAGTCCTATCTCGAGAATGCTGGCCAATCTTCAAGTGGCATCCATAAACTTAGAAAGACCAGTAAGTGCCAGCAGGTGGTGCGATTATTGTGAAATTATTGAGGAGCTGGTGGCTGATAGGGGACCTCCGATAGGGGGTTAAACGGCTTAGCTCACTATTAGCCGGGTCATACACATTCTTAGCCGCGCGATTAGATTAGTTTCGGGCCTCGCGGCACTACATTGCCAAAATCAGGCCATTAGCTCTTCCGAAAAGACGTGGTCTTAGGTCAGTTATGGCCCCCTGCCCGAGCTACTACGGATGGTACTGGTAGTTCTTGCTCGAAGCGGGGCTCTATCGCGACCTTGGCTCTGCTCTGGCCTGGTGGGAGGAGGGCTAAGGTGAAGGTCGTTGCGGGGAGCGGTACGAGGGCCCGCTTTTTGCCAGCTTGGGGGTCTGCGCCCCTCGAATCTGCGCAGTCACACATCGCATGCGGTTAAAAATAAGCCATATAAATAGCACTTTGCACAAATTGAAGAAAACAACACACCAGTGCGCCCCCACCCATACCACACACCACACCACATCATAAAATAAATAAATAAGCGGCTAAAAAATAAGAGAATCATTTCGTGCATTTGACGATCCCCTCGAAAACCACACCGCACCGCACCGCTCCGGCTTCGGCTTCGGCTTCATTTGGCCGGCGGCCGGTCCAAAGTTCAGTGGGGCAAAGTACAAAGTCTGCAGAGTCTAAACGAGTCGTCGTGCTCCGTCTCTGTTCCCCAATCCCCTCCTATGTCTATCTGTCTTTGTCTATCTCTCGCATTTGTCATTTACTCTGCGGCGTTTGTTGACTTTCGAGCGGCAAAGACCCCGGGCAACATCAACAACCAGTGCTGGCTTGGCCGGAGACACCGATCAAAAATTTAGCCATTTCCTATGCACACTTTTAGATGCTTTTTCAAGCTAAGATTGTACACTTTCTTTTCGGTGGCAAGTTCACTAATCAAAGACTGGTCTTAGACACTACTTGTAAGCCTATAAGGCATTCAAGACGTCAAGACTAACAATGCATTCGGAATATTTTGGTTTTTAGGAATGGGATTTCAAAAACTATTCTGGTTTTGAAAAGATTTCAAAAAAATATTATTTAAAATTGAAAAATTAACTTAAAAACAGTCTTCTCCAGACACTGACATTAGTTGACTTTTTTTTTTAAATAATAAAATTAAAAATTACCAAACAATATAATTCCAAGTCAAGTATTTGCCTTTTTTTTAATACAAACAAATCTCAAACAAACAAAAAACTTGAAAAAACCATCATTACTCTTAGAAAGTATAACAAATAAATTTTTAAAAGTTTTTAAAGAAAAATTATTAAAAGACCTAATAAAAAAATTTTAAAAGACCTTATCATCCGTAGTTGAAAGAATTTCCAAAAAATATCTTAATACGATCTTAAGTCTTAAAAATCTTTCAAATTCATTGAATAGTTCATTCTATTCAAGTATTGGAATTTAATTTTAAAACTTCGAAAAAAGTAAAAAAAACGCATTCTTAACTGTATGGAAATATTTAAAGCAAAGCCTAAGATAAACTCGGTTTTTTTAAAGAATTATGTTCCTAAAAACTATCAAATTTAAAAAGAATTTAAACAAAATACTATTTCAAAGTTAAAAATAATCTAATAAGCAGTCTTTTCCAAGGCTATCCATGTCTTAAAAAAAATATATTATCCACACTTTGTTTTAAAAAATAATATTTAAAAAAACCACAAGCATTTTTTAAGAATTTTTGTCAAATACAATCTTAAATTCAAAACAATCCCCAAACAATCTTTATTCTATGCGAGTTATTCTATTATTTCTATATTCTATTATTCTATTAGAAACTAATTTTGAACAGTTCTTAAAGAAATAAGTTTAAAAAAAACCGTCAAATATTTCTTCAAATTTAAAGTTTCAAGTTTTTAAAAAACCATTTCATAGCAAAAAGAGAGAAATAAGTAATAATTAACTAATAAAGTTATTAATGAACAAAAAGGTTTCAAAAAAATTATGAAAAATTAGAAAAAATAGCTAATAAATGCCTTCTCAAATAAAAAACCAATAAACAAACTACTCTTTTCCAGACTATAAAAATATTTCATTTAGTTTTGAAAACTTTGGTAAACTTTTTCATATTTTTCCAAATAAAAATGAATATTCATGATTCATATTTTGTTCATTATTCCATATTCATAAAAAATTTATAAAGCTAATTTGTCATCCCTCTTCAAGAAAAATAAAAACAAAACAAGCAGAGAACGGCCAAAAATACCAGAGGAGGCTGGACCCGAAAACCAAAACCGAATGCTGACGTCGTTTGGCGAAAAGAGCAACAAAATCAAAATAATCAGAAGAAAAACAAACGGAATGGATGGGGAATGGCCGAAAAATAATTGGCAGCGCAATTAAAAGCGCATTATATGGACAACCGTATCAGGGGATCCGGCAGGGTTGGGTTTTGATCCCCCGAAGCCACTAAATATTAAACAGATTGGCAATAATGAGTCGCCATTGAAGCCGAAGCTTATGACTAAGAATGCACTTTTTATCGGTTTTTAGCTCAACCAGTAGCCCGGACAAGTGGTGTTCTAGTAGACTATATATATAGATCGGTATAAATCATAAGGAATTGCCACCATAACGATGACACGACTGAAACCTATATCTTATCTGACCAGACCCTCTCTGGGGGGATAGTTGTTTTCCACACTTGTTCTCAAACTTGGCACTTGGTTATGGGGGCTATGGGGGCTATGGAAGTCTAAAGGCGTGGCTACATCAATTGCTCCTAGTTAACAACCCACAACAATAACAACAACAACAATAAAGCTTGAAACAAAAGGCGATCTTTGCACCGGGAGCTGGCGGCGAGCAAGGCTCCAAAGCTTTTAATTGCATTTAATTCAACAATTGCGAGGGTTCTGGTTACGCCGCCACTGCACTAGTGATGCGGCAATGAATTTCAATGAGAATTATTTGCACTTTGATTTGCCTCAGAACCCCAACACTGCCCTCTGCCCACCACCCACTGCCCACCGCCCACTGCCCAGGAAAGTGAAAAGTGTAAACACAATTGGCAAGGTCGCCCGGGGCAGTCAGTCGGGGGTGGATCAGTCGCACTAATGCAAGTGAGGAGGGTTATTTATAGGCCCAGGGAACTAGACCTGATTACTAATCCATATACTTGGAAGCCGGTAGCAGAACCAGAGCCAATTCTGGGATTTGTTTAAAGAAAAGCTTCCAGGGAAGGCTATCGCTTGAACGCGATACGATTCATTTAGAACGTCCAGCGGCTGGATTATCTGGAATCCCCGCGGCAAATTGCCTCAACCACTCCGCTGGCTCCCAGCCAACCGTAGCAGACGGAGATGCGAACCGGAACGGGAGACGCAATCGATCGCAAAATCGATGCCAACTCCAGACCGGAACGCCCGGACTACGTATTGGATGGAATCCGGCGAGGGCCTGTTTACAACATTTCACTTTCCCTCTTATCGCGGCCGGCCAAGACACGGACCCGGGGCGGTGTTCTTATCAGGGGCCCGTCAGTACGGGTGTCCGATAAGTCTCGCCGGCAAAGACCCAGCCGGAGGGGGGACGCATTAATGACCCAAATACTACCCTCTCTCCTCGGCCTCGGCCTCGGTCTGATGATAACACCCGATAAGTAGAATAAAGGCCCTCCACGGGGGGTCGAAGAGGTAGGGAACTTGGACTGGGAGGAGTACGAAGCGAAATTGCAAACGAAATTGAAATGCGGGCCGCAGACGCAAATCAGACTGCGATCGTATATGCGATCGTATATGTGAACTTTATATATAGCCGTGCATAGCCATAGGTTCAGGTTCAATAAACCGCCATAAACAAACATCGAGTTCTGTTTGATTCCCACCAGCGCCTACGACAACGTCTGCCACGGGCCATGGCACTTAATTTACGATCCTTTCTGGCTCTGCTCCAGGCCTCCAGCTAACGCTCTATCGGTTGGAATCATAATTTCTTTATAATGACCGATTCGGACGAGATATCGGCGAGGCAGTAAATCCCAGAGAGATTTGTGGGGCTCTGATTAGCGAGATACTCGAGATACTAGTTTGGGAAACTCGAACTCCACACTTGACACGTAACTCTCACTCCACTAGGTCCCTACTTACCGCTGCGGTACGGCTCTCCCACTTCTTGAAGTCGCGCCACACGTACTCGTGGAGCGGCACATTCGGAATGGTAACGGGATCGTAGGGCGAGGTCTTGTAGTAGCCCTCCTCGGGACTGTAGTGCAGGAACTTGTCGGTGTCGCTCTGGGGACGCTCCTGTTGGGCGCTGGCGGTGCTGGAGTTGCGCTCCCGGCGATTTGTGGATATAGAACGGGTGGCCGCCTGCAGGGCACTGCCCATGGCGGAGGCGCTGCGCAGGCGCAGCAGCTGAGCGGCTGGATACATGCTGGCCATCGAAAAGGAGTCACTTGTGGAGCAACTGCGTTGGCAAGGAGATGGTCTCGGTGGAATTGAAAAGTACGAGGTGGTGGAGCTGCCGCCGTTTGTTGTGTCGGGTGCTGAGACTCGACTGTCGACGCCGTGCGGCGTAGCGCCAAGTAATGCCCACCGAGCTGACTCTGCCGCTGCCGCCGCTGCTGCTGCTGCTCACCAACACACCGACGCACAACCAGTGTAGACAGCAGACTCGATCGCGTTGGCGTTTCTCGTTGTTTCTATCTCTGTCTCTGCCTGCTGCGGCTGCCTGTTGATACTTGTCGCGGCTGCTGCACTCTGCACCTTCGCTCTCCAGCTCTCGCTCTCGCTCTCGCTCTCTGCGGGTGTCCGCTCTCACCGGCCGGCTGGTCCTGCACTCTCTCCCACTCCCACTTCCACACGGTGGCTGCAACTGTAAATCGAAGAAAATGGAACGATCTGTGAGTGATGCAATGGAATAATGGTAGTTTCTCTTGGAAAGGTACTATTTTGGGATCAGGTCCTAGGACAATATGCTTTCTAGTAGTATCTTGCAGTACTTGCCGGCTGAAGAGCAGTATATTGACCAAAACAATGCGCTAATGGAACGTGCTTTCCACAAGCATTCGGTTGTCTATCAATTTCAACAGAATCTCTCTGAAATGTCACTATCAAATGTCTGAAATGTAATTATTTTGATTGCACTTGAAGCCCCTCGACCTGAAGGAGCCGGCTCTCGGGACTTTCGAGGACCTGAAAAACAGTGGCTTTGAATCGCAATACCGCAATGCATTACTCAGAAAAGACACCTCCCTCTCCCGCTCCCGCTTTTCCCCACTTTTGTTATTATTTCTTATCGTTATCGGGCAGTGCAACGGCTTCTCGAAGTCTGTGGTCTGTGGGTGACTTGCGGGTCTTTTCCGCCACTTATCACATTCAGTTCGGAAGAAAATTGGTAATTCGAACCTTGATCGCTGACTCAAACACCTGCTTCCACGGTATAAACAAGAGTGATATGAGTTACTTCCTTGGGATTTCATAGAGACGATAGCCCAGAGGATCAATGTCTTAGTCTAAAGAATTAGCAGTCCAGATTCCAGTTCTGTTCCCACTGTTTAAAGTGCATTAACCTTTTTTTCGGACAAGCCTGGTGCGTACGGCTGGGCATTTGAATGGGAAACTCAACACTCTTGGCCGCAAGTTCTGCCAGCTGACGGTATTCCACGACTGTAATGGACACTGCTGTAAACCGACAAGTCTAAGCCCACAACAACTGTGTAACAGGAACGTATTTATCGTGGAAGCAACAAATCCGAAACCCCCAACAACAACAATTAGAGAGCAACGTAACCGAGCGTCAAGGCCACCAGAGCTCCCCCTCGATGAATTTGCATTTCTCTCCACCCCCTGCTTCCCACACACACACATGCACGCTCTCTGTGGGTGCATTGCTCGAGCGGGCTGGTGAGGAGAGAGAAGAGAGCAGATTTTACAGTGGGATTGGTCGCTGCTGCTGCTATCTTCTACAAAAATGTCGCATTTATATACATATGTACATATGTATATACATATATACTTGTTATTCAACAGTTGGATAAGAAGCCAATGCAGCTCTACATCCAGACTGCATATTATAAACACTGACTGGATATAAATACACATGTTGATATTCCACATGCGTCGCTTACTCGTGTCGAGCCCATTTTATTCGCATAACGAAATTCAAACAATTACACTGAAAAAACACTAGCCCCCTCTAGCTCGACTCACCCACGGTGACAGTGCTGGTCATAAAATTAGCTACTCTCTCGTTTGCCTAATTGTTGCACATGTGTCCAATATAACTGTAAACCTAGCTAGCTTGTTAAAGATAGTTTTTATAATGGAAGTCTTAAGAATAAGGAAATGTTTATCGTACCTCTTATATTCTTCGGATGACCTCCACTGTGACCATTCGCATGACCTCCACTGTGCTTGCAGAAATTCGTTTCGCGTTCGCTTTGCAAAAACAACAACAACAGTCGCACTTTCTGGCCGTTTTTGAACTTTGTACCCACGCTCCAGCTCGGCGCGCGAGACCAAAACAAAATCCGATATGTTTATCCAAGCAAACCAGTTTGAGTCGACTTCATTAATGATGTTTTAGTGTTATTGCTGTTGCATCTGCATTTTCGAGGCGTTCACATTCACGAACGTTTGTTTTCCCTTCCAACTTGTTTACCGCCTTGGAGTTGTGTGGTTTCTGGGATTTAGATTTCTCGGCTGGAAGGCTTAGCTTTTTCGGCTTGGGATGCTTATCAGTTAATGCCGTTTATTTTGTTTATTACGCGATTTGCCACAGGTCTCCGCTGCACTCTGCTGCCCTCTGCCACCAACTTGATGCTTTTGAACGGCGCAACATGACCCAGAGCTGGGGAACAAGGGGGAGGACAAGTAGCGGTGGTTGCTTCTTCCAACGAGAGCATGCTGCGGGCCATTCCTCCAAGAGAGAGCCAAAGAGCGCGAGAGAGACTGCGAGGGTGGCTCTGGTTGTCAGCTGTGTCATTTTAGCTATTAAATGGCTAGTAATGAAAATATTAACGCTGAAATAGAAAAACTATATTTTAGTAAACATAAAAATATTTAATTATTTAAAATTTATCATATGCACATTTCGTTTGTTCCCATTATAAATTAAATTTGTTTAAGTTTAACAATAAATTGGCTTGTTATAAAAAATGTATTCTATTTATAATAAATATTCAAAAATGCAAAATATATCATTAAATTAATAATCACTTATAAATTAAGTCGAGCCTTTTTTCGTCTTAATTTTTGCCTGGAATGGTTCCACAAATTCTCTCACATTCCTCTTCAGACTACATCCACATTCACCGTTATAGGCTGCTGGGACTGCAGCAATAAAACCACGAAAATTATTGCACTTCGATCTTTTCTCATTGCAGACACACTTCAGTTGGACCTGTAAGCAGTTTACACTTTATTATTAATAATTATGTCTAATTTTTTTTTTGTGCTATCTTTTGTTTATTGCTCACCAGATCGAGTTGCGAATGTTTGTTTGTCTTAAAATCGTTTTCAATTGCACAATTTTGTTTAATTTCACGTCTGTGTCGGTTCCAGAACAAAAAAGACTATTTAATTATGCATTTAATTTATGCATTTTTTTAAAGATTTATCTGCCAAAAAGTAATCTGGGTAGATAAATTGCAAATTGTAATGGCGGGTATTACAAAATTTCCATAAATTCCGCGCTTCCATTCAAAGATGGCGTTAGTTACATACACTGGAAAAGGAAGAGTAACTGGAAAAGGAGTTACAAAAAAAAAACGATCGTGCAATGAAGCACGAGGAAGACGAGTAAGCTTTACTTTATAAATAATAATAATGGATAAATAATGAAATAAATGGATTTAATAATAAAAAATAAAACAATCGGAAATAGTGTCTTATGGTCCAGTAGTAAGTTTTTGAATTTTGAAAAAATTAAGAAAGTTAGTGTATTAAAAGTTAATATTTAAAGTTTCATACCAGTTAATCAGTTCCATAACCCATAGCATTTAGGTGCAACAGGTGGCTTTGCTGAAAACTGCTTGATCGACTCTTAACACTGCTTACTCTACTACAGGTGGCTGGAAAAATGGAGACTGGAAAGAGCGCTAAGAAGAGGATAAGGGAGAAACGGAAAATCATGAATTGTAAGAATATAACTATTAATAAAGTTTCTATCTTAAATTAAAAAATTTGTATTTAAAAGGTCTAAGAGTATGAATGGAATTTGTAAATACCTGGAGTTCTGCAATTTAAAATAACACTTGGACTGGAGGCCTCCATGGTGACATGTGGTACTGCCAAAACTAGGATCTGGAAGCTTCACTGCTTTGTAAAAGGTGTTTTTGGAATACTAATGCTAATCCTAATACTATCGCTGATACTAACTAGGCTTGTTTGTAGGAGTGGCTATGTGGTTCTGTAGTGTCAGGTGTTTGGGATATCCAGAATCTGAGTGCATGGAAAAAAAAATCAAATTAATGGATAAATGGTAAATTATTGTTTAATTTTTGTTTTATTTATTTACATTTTTTTATTTTTAGGTCTCCTCCGGACCGATTTCCTTGTGTTGTACTTCTACTTGGCTTTAAATTATAATGCTGCGACGGATCAGACTTTGGATTGCGGACTAACATCTTCTGACGGCCTGGCCGGCGACTGGACTATGGATTATTGGTTGGGTTTGTATGTCAATGTCCTTATTGCCATCCCCTAGAACAGCATATGGGGCTGATGCCTCGGACACTGGGTTTTGAATTGGTTTTAATTAAGATTTAAGTCTATCCCTCTGTCGCTCACTGCCTTTAAAAATAAGGCAACATTTCGCTGGATCGTGGGGTCACAGTCTTCCGAATACATAGGTGTGGATGACTGGGGTGGCTGAACATTGGCTGATGATGGTCCTGCCTCTTGTCTACGAGCCACTCCACGACTGGTACGTGGATGATTCGCTGAAACTCTATTGGAGTTACTTGGTCGATTCGCTTGTGAAGACGTGGAGGCGTAGGATGATGCTCCATTTGAGGATGATGCTCCATTTGTTTCTTGCGACACCTTAGAAATTTTGTGGGGTGGGATATCGTATTCTAGTGGCACTGTCTTTTGTCTGCCAACCATTCCACGACTGATCCTTGGATGAATCTCTAATGCTGGGCTATAGTTCTTTGGTGGATTCGCTTGTGCCGCACGTCCCCCAGACCCATGCTGTGTTGGACCCATGTTGGATCCTGTGGGAGGAGGCTTGACAACTCTTGGCACTCCACCGGTACTTAGATGATTCGCTTGTTTATTCACGTACCCATTTCCATTCCCTATATTAGATCTCTTTGCTGTGACCACTGGGTTCAAAATCCTTTGCATCTGGGGATCACTGATCGGGGGTGGCGGAACACTCATATCTGGTAATTGCCAAAGCTGAGCTTGACCTGTCATGGGTGGCGGAACACTCATATCTGGTAATTGCCAAAGCTGAACTTGATCTGTCGTGGGTGGCGGAACACTCATATCTGGTAATTGCCAAATCTGAGCTTGATCTGTCGTGAGATCCTTGGCAGTACCTAAAGGGCTATTAGGCGATGAAAAAGGTGCTTTCGAGGCAGCATTGGGCCTAACAGCTTGATCGCTTGTGCTGGTCATCGCAGCATTGGGTGAAGAAATTGTTTTTTGGGGTCTAACACGCACTGACACTTCGGGTGCTCGTTTGTTGGATGTAACCGGTTGGGCTATTTTTTTAGGATCGTACTGTGAGTTCCTTATCCACGATTTAATATTTTCGGCGCTCGACATACTACATTCATCTCTAAAGGAAGTTGCAATATTCTCTTTGTTGGCCATTCGTTTTTTTCCAGTGGCCCTTGAATTAAAGGTTATATTTTTTGGAACCTTAGAAGGTCCAGCACCTTTGGCATTTCCAGAGTCAGAGGCCTTAGAGGCGTCAACTAAAACAGAGTGACTCTGTGATCTCCCGGAAGGCTTCTCCACGACTGGCGGCTCACGTACCTCGTGGGGGTTTCCGGCCGAGTTGGAGGGGAGGTTTTCAGGACTTGTAACGGCAGGGCCTACTGAAGAATCCACACCAGTTGCAACGCCTCCATTCGTGTTATTATTGGTTTTGGAGATCGGACCCTTTTGCTTTACATATCTAGGCATACGCAGGGATAACTTTGCTCGTATTTCTTTTAACACATATTTTTGTTTTCTTTTAGGTTTCCTAGATGCACTGGAATGGGCCTTCGACCGAGTCACATTCGAATTTTTTTTTAATACAGTTGCCGACTTTTTTGCCGCCTGTGATGATTGACCTTCCTCAGCCACTAAGGCCGCTCTCCTTATTAGATACGCATCCCTAATTTCTTTGCGTTTTGCGGGCGATTCTTTCTTCATGGCCCCCCAAAAAAGGTCATTTATATACACCATAAACGTTGTGCCATTTACAATCTTCCCCGTTTTAAAAAGTAACTCCAGGAATTTGTGGTTGAGAACGCTTAAGTCAGCGTTGTAAACCTCTTTTTCCACTTTGCCCAAAGATTGCATCCACATCTCTAGTTTCTGTGTTATCTGTTCTACAGCTTCACTAGTTAGTTTTTTTGCCACTTCACTCATTGGTTTGAAATCTCCAATTATAGATTTTATAAATAATAATAATTTCACAATTGGTGATTCTGAATTTTCTTCTAGGGGGGGATTGGTCTCGGCAGCATCTGGCTGGTAGAATAGTAGCCTAATATGAGATTCGTTAATGCCTATACCCAGAGAATAAGCGAAAACCCACTCACCTGGCTTCGCCTGCGTTGTAAGGATCGTTTTCGGTGAAATATAGGAAATCACTGCAATTAAGCTAATGCTTTAGATATTTCAACATAGAATAGTATGCAATATGTTTAAATTGTGTGTAGTTGTGGTTAGTTTGCACATTGCAAGCTGTCTTATGACTCGGCAGAAAATATTTTCTTGTTAAGGTTTCTTAAGGGGTTATATACCTTCTTTGTCGAAGAAAAAGAGCAAAGTTCGGATTTTTTTTTAGGTATGTATGTAGTAATTATTTAATTACAGGGATGTTTTAATTTTTTGATAGTACACTTTATTAACAATGTTTGTGGAATTTGGTGGAAAAATATTAAATAGTTTTTAAGGGGTGGCTGTTTCCCTTAGAGGCTTTTTTTTTAGAGCCTTGCGGTGACAGTTCCCCAGGTCAAACAGGTCAACTTAAACCAACTTTAAAAGTAAAAAAATTTCATTAGTTTAGTGTAATTCCTTGTGCTTAAACGATCGATTTAAATTTTTTTTTTTATGCATACGGGAACGTTTTATGCTAAAAATGGACTTTTTGGTCTCTAGAAATTTCACTACAAAATTCATTTCGGCGAAAAAATCGTTTTTTCACGTTTGTGCGTGAAAAGTCGATCGTTCAAGCACAGAAGAATTTCATTACGAACATTTAAAAAAAAAATTTGAAGTAAATCGGTTCAGTAGTTTTCCGTCAATCCATGTCACCGCAAAGTCATTTTTCAAGAAACACCATTTCGAGATATTCGCGTTTAAAGTTTCAAGTTCAGTTCAAGGCCGCAACGAGGCGCGCGGTTAGAAGCGCTGTAACTTTTTTTCTACTGCTCCAATCTCTATGAAAATGTTCTTAAGAAGTTGTTCTTCAAGATAAAGCAATAAAAAAATTTTCGATTTTTTGAAAATAAAAAAGGTATATAACCCCTTAACCTCAAACAAGATTAAAAATGAAGTTCCATGTGTGAACTATGTATGTAAAAAAAGTTAACCTCAAAGACCCCCCTATTACATACATAAACATGACTCGGCAGAAAATATTTTCTTGTCAAGGTGTCTTAACCTCAAACAAGATTAAAAATGAAGTTTGAAAAAAGCTTGTATGTACTTATGTTTGTATGTCTGTATGTGTGCGAAAACATTCGAAAAAAAGTTAATCTAAAATACCCTAATACATATATACATACATATGTGCGTATCTGCATACATACATTTGCATACATACACATACATATGCATGAAGAAGCTATGAAAATATCACTTGACTTACTCTTTGAAAGGAAAAAACATCGCATCCGATGCATCGTCTTCGGCAGCTGGGTGGTCTTCTTTTGCCTCTTCAGAATAAATGTTCATTGGCGATGCGCTTTTCGGATAACTATACGAACGACAAGGAACCAAAAAAAATTGTTAACCTCAAAAAACCTAATATTACATACATATATGCACGATGTGCTTATGTGCTTACAAACACAAGTATGAAAAAAAATATATGTAACTTAACTTACCTGTCGGAAGTATAAATCTGCAAAGTCGGTCTAGCTTCTTTGGCGTCTGGCTCTTCTGTTTCCTCGTCAGAAGAAATGACAATCGGCAATGAGTTGTCCAGAAAACTATGCAAACGGCAAAAAACAACAAAAAATTGTTAACCCAAAGAACCCAATACATATGTATGTGCTTATTTACACACATAAATGTACATGAAATGGCTATAATCATAGAAATTAACTTACTTGTTGGAAGAAAACGTCTGAGGAACCGTTTCACTTTTTACAACAACTGGCTGTTCGGTCTGTTCTTTTGCCTTTCCAGAAGAATTGCTGGGTTGCGGCGGAAAGTCGCTCGGAAAGAGGTTTTGGAAGTACTCGTCATCATTATCAAAATCTCCCTGCAAATCGATACAGTCTTCCTGACCCGAAGCCATTTTGCCTTCAGTTTTGGCTTTCTTCAAACGTTTTTAATCCGCGTATATCTCAACAATCACTTCACTTTTTAAAACTTTTTTTTTACACCTGTCTTCACTATGAATTTTTTCACTCGAGGGCACAATGATTTTGTTCCTTTCAATGCTCAGACACAAGTGACAAGGCTGGGAAAGCTCTGACCCTTTTGACCAGCTCGTTATTCGCAATTTTCGATAGCGCACGGAGATTGGCAATCGTTAGTGTGTTCATCCTTTGGTCAAGTGTCACCCCATTTTCTAAAAAAGTTTTCTCGAAATTGCATTTTTATGCGTTTTTAAGCACTAATTCCACGAAGATATGTAATGAATTATATAATTAGTTATAATTAGTAGTCTTGAGTGGATTTTTAATTTTTTAATGATCACTAAGTTTCAATCTAATACTAGATTTCTTTGATCCTCATTCTTTACTGAAAACTTTGTTCTATATATTGATACAATTTATTAGCATTCATTTATTAATATTTTTATCGAGTTTTGTATATTTTACCTTTACCACCGTCCTATTAGTGTGCTCAGAAAATACATCTTAAGCTTTTCTCACAAGGATTTCTTGTGCTTCACCCAAAAATATTTCAAAATACTTATACAGGTGTAAAAATTCAAATCATTAACAGAAAGTTTTTATTTCAAATATTGTCGCCCATGTTAAACACGGTTCGTGTCTATGCTAAACTTCCAAATAAAGCAGTTCGATAATGAAGCAGTGCATATTGATACTCAAATACATACATATTAAATGAGAGAAAACCATTCGTTAATTTTTATTCTTTTTTTTAAATTCAGCTGAATTCCAATTGAAGTACAACTCCTGAGGAATGCCAAATGGACATTGTAGTTTAAGACGTCTTAATGAAATGGTTCAGCCTAATGGGATTCCTATTCGTGGCTAACGATTAGTTTCGGTTCATATAGGCACAGACTTACTACCTATCATTAATATGGAAGTAGATGCGTATTAAGGACATAAAGAGCTCCATGATAAATATTCTGAAAAGTTCATTTACTCTGAAGTGGATAAAATGACTAAAATCAAAGGCAAAACAAAGTCTTAAAATAATTACATGCAAACCAATTTTAAATGAAGGTATTTTCAAACAAAAAATCCAAAAGATATCCTGGATCTCGATGTAAGCTTAAATCTAATCAACTAATCTACCAAATGTCAAACCAGCCAATCAAAAAATTCAACTCACAGGATAAGCTCCTCTCAAAATCGTTTGTCCCTGGGGCAAGATAAGGAACCTGACTAGGAGGTGTTGTTCCACAAATATGAAGGATTAAATCGTTCATACAAAAAACTCGCACGTTGATTCAAATATTTGAACAAAGAGTTCTTCATTGGACTGGAAAGATTAAATCTTCCGACCAGTCCACCTCATAAGTCATGTTCAGTTACTTTGAAAAAATGGTCCATTTACCCAAAATGCGACAAGTTTGTCTTGGGAAATGAAAGCGGAAAGCTGTTGAGAACAACAAATTTTCAACGTAAAATAGGAAGAAGAATGAAGATCCTTATTTTGGGCTCCCGCTGCTGGTAACAACGGTATGTATTACATTTTGTTATTACTTTTGTTTATTTCCAACACGATTTTAATTATCTTATTTGTATAATAATTTTCTTTGCTAGTTTTTATTTGTCAGGTATGACTTCGTTTCCGGACAGCAGTAATATAAAGATGTCCGATGGAAGAAAATTGAAGAACCAACTACAAACTACTATTTTGAGAACCTCTACGCCCAAATCAGCAATAAATCTTTGGGAATCCTTCTGTGAATCGACAAGGATCGCTTATGTGACGTTCCAGAAACCTTTTCCTTTTGTTTCTAAGCAAAATCGAAGTGTGTCCATTGCGATAAGTTTAGGGAATTATGTTTGAACTGAAATCTTGGACTACTGCTCCTGCGTCTGTAACCCGCTCTATTTAATCCGTTCAAAAGCAGTTTCATTTGTTTGCTCTGAAAGTTGGCTGGATCTCTGGCTTTTACAGTATCCGCCAGGTTATCTAGGTTACCAGTTAACAACTTAAAGATCCAACTACGCTTAACATGATAATTTTCGAATTATATGTTAATACTTAAACCTTTTATACCTTATCCCATTATATCCCTTACCTTTCCTCACTTTCAACTGCTCGTTCAAGACCGTGTAGAATCTGAAAAAAATGAATGTAAATCTTCAAATCCCCTCTAATACTTAACCCCATAACATCCCTTGTCATACATGGCTTTCAAAAGGGATTTCAAGATGATTCTATTGACACAGACTTCAGTAAAGCATTTGATTCAGTCAATCACTTACTCCTGCTTACTCCTTACTCCTGGAGGAGAATTAATAATTTAATAATAATTTGTTAATAATTTAATTTAATTCCAAGCATAGCTCAGCTCTGCTTCTTCCCCGTCTTATCTATATTTCTGCACTTTTCCTTTGCACTCTCCAAAGCTCCCGCTTCGGCTTCCTATTTGGCACAGAGGTTCAAGGTATAGTGTTTTTTACTTTTTATTTATTAATTTGGTTCGTTATTAATAAAAAATATGGAATTTAAACTTGTCTGTGCTATGAAGTCTTGTAACAAGACAATTTCCTCATTCCAGCCTACCATCCATTGCTGGCTATGTGAAAACGTCGTACACGCCAAGTGTGCGGGTTCACTGCCTCAGTCTCGGATGCCATTTCCCGTAGGTCTGGTATACATTATTGTTGTGAAAATTGTCGTGCTGTCCAAGGCGAAATGAGGTCGTTCATGAGACAGACCAAGAATGGATTTAAAGAGCTGATCACTGATTTTCTTAAAATCAATGACCAGCTCTGTGCGCTTGACACTCAGGTTAGTGGCCCTCAGCTGCTAAATGAGTCCCCTAAGCGTAAGAAATCCGCTGTTTCTGATCCGCCTCAGCCTGTTCAGCCGACATTAATGCAGCCGCTCATATCTCTGGCCACCCCAAGGGCTAGAGCTGAGAACAATTCGTCCGAATTTCTCAGGGAAATGAGCGATCCCTTCAAGTGATGCCACAGGCCCTAGTGAATTAAACCCCCACAAAAGTCACCCAAAAGGGCACTCCACAGTCCGGACCACCGGCACCGACTGATGCTACAGTTCTCGTACCTGCGACACCCTTACAGGTGATTCCTCAATCGAAACATATATTTGTTTCTCGGCTTGCTCCTGATACTTCGGAGATTGATATCTCGGCTTATATGAAAGCCAAAACAAAAGCCGATATAAAGGTGGAGGACATAGCTAAATTTAAATATAATTATATACGGCACACGTCTTCTTTTAAGATTCGTGTGCCCGCGCTGATGTTCAAGACGATTTGTTCACCCAGTTTTTGGCCAGAGAATATTTTCGTCCAATAACATTAGCCTAGTTCTTTGAAGAAAAAAACCAAAGTTATAAAACCAGCGGAAGTTAAACTACCCGATATCAGAACCACTGACCAACCTTTCACCTCTGCTTCGTCCAGTAACCCAAAAAACTAGTATCGTCATTAACACTTACCTATCAGAATACTAGGGGGCTACGTAGCAAACTCCCCAAAATATATTCTGATAGTTCTTTCTTTGCATCCCATATTATAGCCTTTACAGAAACTTGGTTAAAGCCGGAGATCTTTAGCTCCGAAGTTTTTCCAAGTAAGTACACCACTTTTAGAAGGGATCGACCTCAGCGAAGGGGGGTTGGAGTCCTCATTTCGGTAGACTCCACTCTTGCTTCTGAAGTGGTGAAATCACCATCTTTGTCACTTATCACTCACCATGACTTCACCGCGGGCATGTTTGACATGACCCTAGGTCAGATTAACCATGTTAGAAATTCGTTAGGTCGGCTTTCAGACTTATGTTTTGTATCTGATCCTGATGGTACCGCTCTCTCCAGAGCTTTTCCCCTTTCAACCCCAGAGGATCCTTATCACCCCACGATGGAGGTCTCTATCGAAACTATTCCTGGTATCGATCAGATGTCTCCACGCGTGGTAAATAAGATTCGCTGCTTCCGTAAAGCTCATTTTCAGAAACTTAATAGCCTTTTCGATACATATAACTGGTCCGATATTCTTCCATGCACCGATCTTAAGTGACCTTAAGTCTTAAGTACTTTAAATACCTTTTTTGACTCCTGTGTGCCATGGAAATATCCGTCCGCATCAACAAATTTTCCTTGTTTTACAAGGTGCCTCACTAACCTAAAAAATACTTAAAATAAGCTTTTACTTAAATATAAAAAAAACCTGCAGTAGTGTTGATTTTTCAAGATATCTACTCGGTCAAATTTTACCGTGCATAACGCTGAATGTTACCGGAATTATATTCGCAGCTTCCGGATACAATTTACTCAGGATCCAAAGCAGTTTTATAATTTTGTAAACACTTATCTTTTTCACCCCTGCTTACGTTTGAAAATTCCTCTGCGACCTCTGATCAGGCCATTGCCGATCTATTCGCAGAACAACTTATTCTCCTCCTAAATTGACAGATCAGCCTTACATAACAGCCTTATATAACATTCAAGCAGCAAATCTTATTTTCTGTCCATTGTCTCTGAGAACAACTTATGTATTATCTGATCTTCTAAGGGTCAAACCCATTTATTCGCCAGGCACCGATGGAGTACCAGGCTGTGTGCTAAAGTACTGTGGAAGGGCTCTGTGCAAACCTCTTCTAAGACTTTTCAACTTATCTTTGGAAACCTCGATTTTTCCCCTCATTCAAGGAATCATTCATAATTCATAATAAGAGGAAGGAATCATTCATAATTCCCCTACATAAAAAAGGGAAAAAGTCCGATGCTGCCAATTACAGAGGCATCTCTAAATTGTCGGCATTTGCAACACCTTTGCTCTTCGATTATCACTCCTTGTCAGCATGGCTTTAGCGTCGCTCCACCACCACAAACTTATTGGAGTTGACATCCTTTGTCATAGATGGCTTTTGTAAGGGATATCAAACCGATGTAATTAACACAGTCTTCAGCAAAGCATTTGATTCAGTTAATCACTCACTCTTGTTGAGTAAACTGAATATGCTGGGTTTTCCTAAAGACCTCTTAACGTGGATCTCCAGCTACTTAGATGGAAGGACACAAAGAGTCTTATTTAAAAACATACAGTCCCGTCTGGTCCGTGCTACATCTGGCGTCCCTCAAGGAAGTCATCTTGGCCCGTTATTATTTACGCTTTTTATAAACGACTTGCCCTCTGCTTTAACGAACTCTCTTGTTCTTATGTATGCAGATGATGTTAAGCTTTGTCTTCAGTACAAATCCATCTCTGCCCAATGCCGTCTTCAGTCTGACCTTGATAACTTTCAAGAATGGTGTTTAGCTAATGATTTAATACCTAATGGATCAAAATGCAAGCTTATGTCTTTTTATCGTCCTTGCCCTCTGCAGGTTACGTTCTCTCTCTATGGAATTGCTTTAGATAAATTAACTTTTGAGACGGCGTCCTATGAGACTTTAAACTTAAATTTGCCGACCATATTTTCTTAATGGTTAATAAGGCTAAGGGAGTCCTTGGTTTTATTAAAAGGTGGTCAAAAGAATTTAATAACCCCTATATAACCAAAACATTATTCATTTCCTTGGTCCGTCCTATACTAGAGTACGGTTCATGTGTCTGGAGTCCCCGATATGGAGTCCATAAAGACCGCATAGAATCCGTACAAAAGAATTTCTTAACTTTTTCTCTTAGAGGTCTAAACTGGGATGCAAATCTTTAGCTTCTATCTTATAATAGTAGACTCTTACTTATAAACTAACCTAGCTTAACAAATCGACGGACAATGATCGGTGTAGTCTTTCTGCATAACCTAATTAATGGGGATATAGATGCCCAGACGCTTAAATTTTAACATTCCTAATAGAAGGACTAGAATCTTTAGTCCTCTATTCCTTAGCCATTGTAGTTCAACATATGTATGCACGACCCTTTTAGGGTCTTGTGTTCGAACTACAATAGTCTCTACTCTATAACATCTCTCTCCTGTCCTTCAGATTTAAAGTATAGAATTTTAAAATCCTTACTAACTCCAAATTTAATAAATGACAAATAGCTTAATATATACTAATTAATCGTTTCTCGAGCTCCTTTCGGTCGTCTGGGCCTCTAAGCCTAATTTTGAATACAAAAATTCTGAAAAACCGCGAAAAAGAAAAAAAAATTAAACCTACATCAGGACCGCATATTATCCGCATAAAAGAATTTCTTAACATTTTCACTTCGAGGTCTTAACTCGGATGCAGATCTTTTAATATTCCCAATAGAGGGACTAGAAACTTTAGTCAGGGGCTCTAAGCTTCTATATTTTAAATTTCCTATTTCCCATTTTTCTATTTTAAATTAAATATAAATTTTAATCAAAAACATGATCTTTTTTAATTTAATTTTATTTGGAAATAATAACTATACTTCCATATTCGATGAAATAAGCCAAAATGTAGGCAAACAAAAAAAATGTTTTTCAAATATTCCAAGAAAACCAAAATGTTTTGAAAATTATTTCTTAATAGCTTAATATTTAAAGTATTCAAAAATAATTTTTTTTTTTTGTTTTAGTATTTAGTTGTAATTGAATCTAAAATTATTGAATTAGCTTAGTCCTATTTTAAATAATAATTAACAGATCATTGTGACAAATAAGGAGATAAAAATTATATTGTATTACTATGAAATGTGTTGTAAATATTATTTCTGCTCCACTGTGCCAGAAAGCTTTCGTACTGGAGAGCTTTCCCGCTTTACGATTGCTTCCATATGACATTGACAGAATCTGAAAAAGTTATAAAGAACAGTGGAATCTCAGCAGTGCCACCATTTGTTTATTAGCTTCTGGCGGCGATCGAAGGAAGGAAAGCAACAAACCGGCTACCATGGCACTCAAGTTTGCAGCGAATCTGAACTTTCTGTTCACCGAACGTGCGGCCACGATCGCCGAACGGGTCCGGCTGGCCCATCAGAACGGCTTCCGCGCCGTGGAGATTCCCTATCCGGAGGGCGAGACCGCCGCCGTGGTGAGTGCCGTCAAGGAGACCGGCATTGTGGTCAGTCTGGTCAACCTGGCCTTCGACAAGACGGACGATCAGCTGAGATTCGGTTCCACCAGCGTGCCCGGCAAGGAGCAGCTCTTCAAGAGCCAGCTGGACGACACCATTGGCTTTGCCAAGCAGGTGGGCTGCGGCAAGATTCACCTCACGGCTGGCCTGTTCAAGGGCGGCCAGGAGAGCGACTACACGAAGACATATACCTCCAACCTGAAAGTGGCCGCCGAGAGCCTCCGCGCCAACAAGCTTGTGGGCGTCATTGAGCCCATCAACAAGTACGCCGTGCCCGGATACTACATGAACTCCTACGCCAAGGCCGCCGCCGTCCTGTCCGAGGTGGGCGCTGACAACATCCGCCTGCTGGCCGATCTCTATCACCTCCAGCACCTGCACGGCAACGTCTCCAAGACCCTGGAGGAGTACAAGCAGCTGATTGGCCATTTCCAGATTGCCCAGGTTCCGCACCGTCATGAACCGGACGTGTCCGGCGAACTGGACTACAGCTACGTGTTCAAGGCCCTCCAGGAGTTCGGCTACGACGGCTGGGTGGGATGCGAGTACAAGCCCAAGACGACGACCGTGGAGGGCCTCTCGTGGGTCTCCAAGCTGGGATACACCCTGTGACCAGGATCCCCATAAGAATCCCATTGTATTTATACATCTGTAAAGTGCATATATATATTTAAACAAATTTTTTTTTAAAGCGAACTAAGAACAGTGTGTGTTTTCTTAGAAAAAGGTCATGGATTTGACCTACAGCAAGGGTGTAGTAGCTTTCCTCTTGGGTGATTAGATAATAAAACAGATTAGATACGGAAGCCTCCTCTAGCTATCTCCCGCGAGCACTCGCTTCGCGTACTCGGCTATGTGGAGGACGCCAAACTCCGGGGAGGCGATGTGCAGATTGTCGCCATTGCAGAACACCGTGTTGATGTGCGGATTATGAAGCTCAGCCACCAGGGTGGAGCAGGCCGTCGAGGAGTCGCCCGTGGACTTGAGCATTTTCTGGAAGTGACACAAATAAGTCGGTTAGTACTATCTCCAAAGCAACAGGGTTACCACAAGGTGCGGTTTTCTGTGGGAAAAAAATAACATTTTTTTTTTGAAATGTCTTGATAACAAGACCTCTACTGTAACACTAATATATGCACTATAGTTTTTCTTAATCAGTTCTTATCAAGAGCTCTGACATTTAAAGGTAATCGGGAAACTGAATACAGACCCAGTACATAAAGCGAAGCCCCTCTAACTACGATATCTATAGTGACTCGGAATCATGATCGTGACTTTTAATTGTTGAAGATCGACTTCATTTTCTAATTAGCAAGTTTCTAAACATCACAGCTTTTGCTCTTTAAAGGGTGGACATTCTCTGATTTTAAATGTTAATTACATATCTATATCTTTTTCACTCACCATCCAAAACTCGTTGCCCGGCAGAGCATTACCATCCCAGGCATAGGACACCACTAGCAGCATGTCGGCGTTCTCCGGCCCCGTCAACTTCTCAGCTGGATTTCGTTTGGAGATGTGGACACGAATACCCTTCTTGGGATGGCCGGGAATGTCCACCAGAGCACCGTCCTTCAAGCCGCCGCATTCCTTCATGGTGAACCAAGAGAAGTGAACGGCACCCAAGTGGTCCAGCCTTGAGCCCAGCGTGCGCATGCGCTGCTCAAAGGCCTCCAGGAAGATGCGCTCCTGCTGGACGGCTACCTTCCACACACCCAAGCCAAAGCCCACCACATGGAGGTAGGCCAGACGGTTCGTTGCCTTGGCACGGGCTTGGGCCTCCAGGAGCAGCAAGTCGAAGCTGATCGCGTAGCGCCTTTTCATGGCCATATTGTCGAAAACATCCTGCTTGTTGCCCGAGGGACCGAACCGTTCGTGGTCAATGGTAGCCTGGCCGTGCACCAGGTCGCGCATGGCATAGAATCCACGCCACAAGCGCCGGTAGTCCTGCTCTCTCGTGGTGGCCGGTTCACCCAAAGCCATGCCGTAGCCCCGCTCCCGGGTGTTCTGCGTCCGGGCAATCACAATGTCCTGGAACTCCATCAGATTTCGCCGCGACAGCCGGGCTCCGATCATGCCCACGATTACACCACTCGGCTCCAGGGTCTTGGAATTTAAGGCAACGCGACCGCAGTTGGCACGCTCGCCCTCATTGATGAATATGGTGTGGGAGCTGACGGATAGCAGTGCGGACAGCTTGATGTCATCGTAGCTGAGCAAATCGGCCAGCACCAAGGGTGCCTTCTCCTGGGGCGTTCCCACAGTTTCAAAGCCGCTGGCTCCCCTCTCGCCGCTGAGGAGCAGGTACTTGTCATTACGGGCTATAAAGCTGGCACAGCGCTTTTCCAGCAGACGCTGCACAAAACCGCAGAGGGAGAGGTGCTGGTAGACGGGTTTCTCAATGGAATTTCCTGCAATTGGTACGCGCAGTTAGCAAAGTCAATGGGGAAAGAGACTTTCAAAGAGAAACGCACTAACCCCATTTGCATTTATGCTCCAAGTACTGCAAATAAAGTCCCAAGGTACGTTCGTGGATAACCGGATACGCCGAAGCTATCTGCGTACAAATGCTGCCCAGCCGTAGTGGTGACTGTTTATGGACACGGACACTCTCCACCCCAAACTGGAAGAAGACGTGGTAAGGCAACAACATTTCCATTGAAAGAACTTAACCCACTGGCAAGGGAAACTCTTTGGATTTCTTCAGGACCATGGGGACGAGGCCATCAATGTCGGCTTCCGGCTTCTTTACTTTCCGGCAGGCCTGGAGCAGCTTCATCCCGAACTCCGTCAGGGGCTGCGAGTCTCCAGAAACCGCTGGCCAGACTTCATTTACTTCAGCACCGAAGGCAGACATGGTTTCGATCCTTAATTTTAATTATTTTCCACAAGTGATGTGAGCTCAGGTGAAACTGTCTTAATTTCACAAGTACATCTAATTGCGGCGGGACCCGGAGACGCATTTTATATAAACCAAGTTGTGAAATTGCCTTGTAACCGTTTTGTTTACCGATAACAACAACAAAACTCGATAACGATATTGTACGAGTCCAGTGTGACCAAATAAAAAATACGGCAAAATATATATTTCAAAATAATATCGATAGTATCGGTATGAGTGCGGACACATATGACGATACATAATTCGGGGGCAAGCAAGTATCGATATCACGATATAAATACATTTCGACATCCCTACAAAAAAAGTGTTAATGTTAATTTTTTGCAAGAACGTGAGTGTGATAGCCCAGCCAACTGCGAAAGGATTGCTGTGAAGCCCCCTCAGTGCGTTGAGTAAGTGGTACAGACTGTGAAATGTGTATTAAATAAATAAATAGCACGTAAATGGCTTGAGACTGTTGGCCGCTGGCACCCGCGCGCGGCAAAAAGCAGCGACAAGCCACACACACACTAGCGCATTCTGCCGAAAAGCAGACGCACACTCCCACACACACATGCAGAGTGCATGCAAAAACCGAAAACACAAACAATTAATGTAAACCTTTTGATTTGTAATTTTTTTGTGCCGCGAAGCAGCCTGGTGAGCGCCATCAAGTAGAAAATCTCCTACGTTCCGCCTTTCCGTATTCCCCCGACCAGTCACCCAGTCCCGGAACTCCCAGCCAAACGCCACAAGTATGTCGGACTACAGCGATCTGGATCGCCAGATTGAGCAGCTGAAGCGCTGCGAAATCATAAAGGAGAACGAGGTGAAGGCCCTCTGCGCCAAGGCTCGCGAGATCCTGGTCGAGGAGGGTAATGTGCAGCGCGTGGACTCGCCGGTGACGGTCTGCGGCGACATACACGGCCAGTTCTACGACTTGAAGGAGTTGTTCAAGGTGGGCGGCGATGTGCCCGAGAAGAACTACCTCTTCATGGGCGACTTTGTTGATCGCGGCTACTACAGCGTCGAGACGTTCCTGCTGTTGCTGGCACTGAAGGTGCGCTACCCGGATCGCATAACACTGATCCGCGGCAACCACGAGTCGCGTCAGATTACACAGGTGTACGGGTTCTATGACGAGTGCCTGCGCAAGTACGGCTCCACGGCGGTGTGGCGCTACTGCACCGAAATCTTCGACTACCTCAGCCTCTCGGCCATCATTGACGGCAAGATATTCTGCGTTCACGGCGGCCTCTCGCCCTCCATTCAGTACCTAGACCAAATTCGCAGCATCGATCGCAAGCAGGAGGTGCCGCACGACGGGCCCATGTGCGACTTGCTCTGGAGCGACCCAGAGGATCAGACCGGCTGGGGCGTGTCGCCGCGCGGCGCCGGCTACCTCTTTGGCTCGGATGTCGTCTCCCAGTTCAATCGTACCAACGAAATCGACATGATCTGCCGTGCGCACCAACTGGTAATGGAGGGCTTCAAATGGCACTTCAACGAAACCGTCCTGACCGTCTGGTCAGCACCAAACTACTGCTACCGGTGAGTCAACCTTCCAGCTGGCCCTCCAGCTGTTTGCACCCAACATGGCAATTATATGTATTCCCCCGCCAACAGATGCGGCAATGTGGCCGCCATTCTGGAACTGAACGAGTACCTGCATCGCGATTTTGTCATCTTCGAGGCGGCTCCGCAGGAGAGCCGCGGCATTCCCTCGAAGAAGCCCCAGGCTGACTACTTTCTCTAAGACGAGTACACAGCCGCCTTTCTCGGTTTCCCTCCCGCTGCTCCTGATGCTGCTGCTGCTCCAGATCCTTTTCTGGATCCAGACCCAGGCCCAGCGCCTGGACCAGCTCCAGTTCTGGGCTCTGCTCCCGGTACCGCTGGGGAAACGAGTGTCCACCGGTGGCTGAGATACAAATCATCTAAAGGAAAAGAAAACTGCCTGCCTGCCTAAGCAATCGCGAGTGCAAACCACTGCAATTGCGAATGAAAATCAATTATAACTTAAAACAGTAAGCTAAGCCACGACTTTGAGCCAGGGACTGGGGGCTGTGGGGTCTCCTCTCAAAGGTCACGACTTCCTTCTTCTATTTTACTTTCAAAATTTTATTTGAACCTTCAGCCGTGTTCCTCCATCTTGAAACATTTTTTTTTTTAACGTCACTAGCAGTTTGCAATTTTTTTGATGTTTGTGTAAGGACCCTTTGACTTGCATCTAGCTAATAACTACTAGGATTAATGCCCCCTCGAGTTGCCCCGGAACTCGTCCGACAAAGATGGAATTTCTTCGAACAGAAACCCCCGTCTTTCTCACACGAATTCCCTACCAATTCGCGAGCGGATCGTATTTTACTTTTAGACATAGTGTGTAAGTAAGTATCCCGTGTCAGTGGATGTTCCGGGAATTGGGGGGGATGGCCTGTCGCTGATTAGCGACCATAGAGAACAAAACGAAACATAAGTAACGACTTGGCGCTCCTGTGGGCAGGTCTTCCCAGCTCAATCCAAGCAAGAAACAGCCCAAGACAAGGCCAGGGCCGACAGATCACCGCGGATTGTGTGTTGCGGACTTCGGAGGATCGCTGAGGATGTGTTTAGTAATTCGTAGCCAGTAAGTCTAGTTCTAGGTAAGACCCAGAGCGGGATATTATACACAAATAATTATATATACATTATACATTTATTTAAATAAAGATTGTAAGAAAAGACAAGGCCTGAAGTTGCTCGGTTTATTGATTCTTACAGGCTAGTTGCAGAACAGATCTGCCGAAAAAAAAAAATAATTACAATTCATAGATTGTGTTCCAGAGGGGCGCTTGTGGTTTGGTTGGAGGTTCATGGTCGGTCCGGGTTGGGGCTTAGTGCTTCAGGTCGATGCCGTGCTCCTTCAACTGCTCATAAATGCAGTTCTGGTAGGTGTCGGCGGCGTCACAGCTGGAAGAGGGAACTGTAGAGCTGGAGAATCATTTATGAATCGGGGAACTTACTGATCCTCGGGGACCTCGATGGCCTCGCAGTGTTCGGCCACTTCTTCCACCACTTCAGCCTTCTCCTCCTCGTGCTCGGTCATGGCCTTGATCATCTCCACAGTGTGCTTCTTGCTCAGCTTGCCGGCGTCATCCAACTGGAGGAATCCCACAGAGGAGCAGGAGTATTAGTCTTGAACTTGAACACCATAACACTTGAACTTACGATCTCGAATTTCTTCAGGACACAGGCTCGCAGGCACTTGGCCTCATGGCTCTCGGCCTTCTCATGCTTCATCAGCTGCTCCACATCCTCTGAAGAATACAAACGGTGAGTCTGGTGAGTTATCCATGCACTAATACCCACCATCGCTGGCTCCCGTCTCCGCTTGGCAGTCGTGGGCCAGTTTGGTGGCATGTTCCTGGGTCATCTCCTCGTGGGGCTTGGCGGACGCCGACCCGGATCCCAGGACCAGGCAGGCCAGGACTAGCAGCAACACGGACGAGGCACTAACGAGACGCGGCATTTTCGACGCAAACTAACTTCGAATTGGATGCTCCACCCGGACCGCCCCGGGGCTTTTATAGGCCTAGGCATGGCTCTGCTCCCAAGTCCCGTGATTGGACCGTCTCAAGCAGCTGGGCCGGGCCGGACCGGCTGGGAGCAATTAGTGGACAATTAGCGGGTGGGAAGAGTGAACTACATGGGCAGCACACATGACACTCCGTACTCCAAACCGGAGATGCCCTCGACTGGGTCTCGTGTGAACAACTGACACTTCTGCCTCTGCCGGACGGAGTCAAGTCGGGGGACGGATGAGCAGATCGGGGGTCGCCCCATCACCCATCACCCATCACCGATCACCCATTATCCATTTAATTGCTGACTAACACGATATCTCGACATCGATCTCGCTGGAAATTTGAATTCAAAAATGCTAAAATGCAAAAATGCTAAAATCTAAAAATGTGAAACGAAAAAGTCCCGCCTGCAATTAAGCCGATCAACTGCTCTGACTCGGCAGGTTTCAGTGGATTTGTTTTCCCAACTATAACAATTCCTATCTTTATAATCGGTTCTCTGGCCATTCAGTTTGGCAGCCCAGAGTGATCATTTAGGCCTCAATAGTACCCAGTCCTACCAGTTTTTTTTGTCACTTTTGATTCTCACTATATCTGTGGCTATTTTTGTCATATATTCGAATCTCATTTCCCATTACAGCTCTACTTGAGAGCTTAATGACTTTCCGAGGTAGTGCGATATGTTCTGATTAAATCGGGATTAATCTCAGATCTAAAAACTATTATTTAAAAACTAAACAAGGTTTTAATACTCTTTCAGGGGGTATTATAATTTTTGTTAAAAGCGAGCAGAGAAGGAGACTCCTACCTTATAGTCTTATGATAATGGTAGATGAGTATTTCTGTATATTTCTACGCTTATTAGTCTACCAAATGGTTTTTAAACTTATAGTCTTTTAGGTATCCTCCGTTGGATTCGTTGCAAGAAGTACTTATATTGCCCAAAATTGATCTACTATGTATATCGAATATCTGATACGTCTATAACTAAAGATGGGTGTCTATAAAGATAGAAGCTAGGTTTTTGTTGGAAAATTTATATTATATCAGAGTTTGATGTGAGACTAAAATTCCTACAAGAATAGATAGTTAAATCCGATATTTGAAACACTATTATATCTTAGAATAAAATTCGAATAGAAACACTTAAATAAAAAAAAGCACTACAAAGTGTACCAAAATTTCTTTCTTGTTTCATTTTCAAATAATAATATTATAATGCTTATCTGCTAAATTATAAACAGTCTAGCTGCTAACGTTTGGAACATATTTTAAATTTTATACAAAATCTATTTAACAGAACATAATTATTCTATTTTTTAAATGACATTTTATCTTCTAAATTAATTATTTTATTTTTAAAAGGTTAAGCTTGAGCTTCACTTGAGAATAAATATTCCTTTTTACTGGGAAGCGGGTTTTCAATATCCGCGCTTTTAACAAAATTTGAATATACCATAATCATATTATATATTAAATTTATATAAAAAAATAAAATATACATTTTATGAATAAAAAAAGGATGTAACAGAGTGACGTACATATTAACCTGCGACCCTATAAATTATTTTATTTTTATATTAAGTTATTTCCTGTAGTGGAGGAATTATTTTGCCTCCCCGTTTGAACGGGTTAACGTCACAGCCACTATAAATTATTTATATTCCTAATCAGGAATTCTAATGATTATGGACTCCTAAGTCTATAAAATAAGAGAGACTGATGGATAGTCTCTCCGTCGATCTGTCTGTCAAATGCAAACTAGTCTCACTTTCCAAGTTCTCGATTTCAAATTTCGTAGAAATATTGTAGATCTTACAAAATATTTTGACTGTCCTTTAGATACTATATATATTGTATATTTGAAAGCCGAGGAATCCGCATTGATCCGGCTGCGTAAAAAGACGCTGCGTTTTTGCTGAGAGTTCCTTTAAATTTTAGAATCTTATTAGCGACCGCTGAATAATGCCACGAAAGAAGCACTCTAAGAGCCAGGACATCATCTACTACTCAAACACACGCTCCGATGAGCAGTTCGAGTACAGAAATGTGCTCCTGCCAAAGAAACTGGTGAAAATGATACCCAAGACACATCCAATGACGGAGGACGAGTGGCGGTCCATCGGTGTGGAGCTGCCGCCCAGTTGGATCCACTTCGTAATCCATAGGACAGGGTCACATGTCGTGCTTTTTCGATGCCCCAAGACGGAGGACTAAAGGAGGCACCTCAAGCAGCACAGGAGACAGCAACTACTGATACACTTGCCTACAAGCATCCCCATCCGGCAGGTGCTACCGCTGCCTGTGTGTGATTGGAGGTGGTGGTTCCTGACAAAACAATACCACCAATAGCTACATCATCATCATTATCTGTAGCAGAAAATTCTTCTGGAAACTACATCATTCATAAATCCATTTGAAGTGTTGCCATTTTAACCTTTAACCTGCTACCTCTTACTTTAAAATAGCGTCTAAAGCTAAAGATTAGTTACAAGATTTGTATACCCTTCTAGGCCGAGAAGCGAAAATTGTAGTTGCCATAATGGAGACGATCACAAAGATATAGAACGCCTTGAATAATTACTTTCCATCATACAGATTGTATAATATTTTATGTTTTCAATACCCACTTCAAACATGAACCTGAAACAAATCGATAATGTTTCAGCACTTTAAAAAAAATTTTAATAGAACCCTGACTTGTGATCTTGAAATTCTTAAACAATAAAACCTAATAATAAAAATGTAAATTGTTAACTTTGGTTTTTATTTTAAGCTAGAAGGTTTTTAGTTTTTGCTCACTTTTGACCAAAATTATAATACCCTCTGCAAGGGTATACAAATTTAAATATAAAATTAAACATGATTACTCATAAAATAATGACTGTTGGGTGATTTAATAAAACTCATTATATGATGATAATCTTATGATTTAATGATGATTAGTGATATTTGTTATAAAGCTAATAATAAAGTTAATTATAGCTGTTTATTATAAAGCATTATTTTAAATATTACAGTCCCTGCTTGATAAGTATATAATTTTATACCAATATAAATTCCACTTTACTTTAAAACTGTTTTAAAAAATCCATGTTTTTATATTATTATCTCAAGATTATAATATTCTATTATTTTTATTACACATCTGTTCACTAAAAACTGATCAACACAAAAACAGAACAATATGGATCTTTTAAACCCAACTACTTCCCGAATAGACACCATTAAATTTTAAAAATTTACTAAACTGACTCACTACCACCTATTTGACAAAACACCTCCACCCATTATACAATTATACAAAGAATAATGTCAAAATTATACAAGAATAATGCCATGCCCCGTGTGCGGGTTAATCGAAGTACTGTATAGCCGTTTCACTCACACTATTCAACACTTAATATGTTAAAATTAAAATAAGGGACTATAATTCTATGAATGGACTACCTTTTATAATTGTGTCATGCCTCCACCCACATGCCAACAATGTAGTCAAAACCTTACCCTATCTCACATATTCCTTGAATGCCCAACATATATTGAGCAAAGACAGAAATTCCTTCAACAAACTTTAGAAGAAATAGTAGACCCCATCTACAACAATCCAATTTCTTAAATCCTTTTCTTAATTAAATCTCAAATTTCTTAACATTTAAATTTAATCTGACTGTACATACATAACCAAATTAAGTACACTTATGTATGTATATACATTTATATTTAAGTCAAATGTCACATATTACAACATACTTGTAGATTTTAAGCAGAAGGCCTTTGTAACTATTGCTTAATACAAACCAAACAAGAAATGAAAGCTAACTTCGGGCGGAGCCGAAGTTTATATACCCTTGCAGTTAAAACCGGATATATATCGCAAACATCGGATATAGTTGGCCGATCCTTATGAGAATATGATACTATAACCCAATTTATTATAATACAAAAACCAAACCTAAAAATGTCCCAAACTTCTATCTTCAAAAACACAAAAGTTGGGTCATTTCCGATCGTTCAGTTATATGGCAGCTATAGGATATAGTCGGCCGATCCTAATGAAATTTGGTAGGTTGGATCAACTGACCAAAAATAGAATCTGTACTAAATTCCACCTTTATATCTTCAAAAACACGAAAGTTGGGTCATTTCCGATCGTTCAGTTATATCGCAGCTATAGGATATAGTCGGCCGATCCTTATGAAATTTGGCATGAAATTGGTAATGTTTTGCCAAAAAATGCTCTCATGTCAAATTTTAACTCTGTAACTTTAAAAACGTCAAAGTTATACCATTTCCGATCAATCAGTTATATGGCAGCTATAGGATATAGTCGGCCGATCCGGGCCGTTCCGACTTATATACTGCGTGCAAAGGAAAGAAGGGTGTGTGCAAAGTTTCAAGACGATAGCTTTAAAACTGAGAGACTAGTTTGCGTAGAAACAGACAGACGGACAGACAGACGGACAGACAGACGGACAGACGGACATGCTCATATCAACTCAGGAGGTGATCCTGATCAAGAATATATATACTTTATAGGGTCGGAGATCTCTCCTTCACTGCGTTGCACACTTTTGGACAAAATTATAATACCCTCTGCAAGGGTATAAAAATTATCCACACTTTATAATTGCTGGTAATTTCTTTATAATAATAATAATAATGAAAATAATAATTTATTACTAATTTTTAATGTTTTTTATGTAAAGCCTCTTGTATATAAGCCTCCTATCCTATTACTATTACCTATCTATCTTTTAGATAGGTATTATTATATTTATATTACCTATCTTGATTTATTACCTATTACCTATCTTGACATTGTTCCTTTTCCCCAAGATATACATATTTATGTATATTATTTAATTTACGGAAAAAGCACTGTGTAGTTAGTTTATTTTTTTATATTAATAAAAATCTACTCCGTTTTTGCTGGCTAGTGTGTGGCATGCGTGACTTCCAGTGTCTTCCAGCGCAGCATGATCTTGACACTGGAAAAGCGCTGTCGTCGGCGGAATGGAGTGGAAAGTGGAGAAACGACTGAAAAGTGGGTGGCAAGGTCGCGGGGTCGAGCGTATAAAAGCCAAGAATCGGCGAAAGTGAAGAGCATCAGTCTGAGAACCGCCAGAGCTACCAAGATGAAGTCGATGACCATTGTTTCCCTGATCGCAGTGCTGCTGCCGATGCAGTGCGTCCTTGCCCAGAGCCAGTCCTTCGATCTGGCCAGCCTGATACCGAGCCGGGGATCGGAGCCCATCTGGACGACCATTAACAAGAACCTGCCGCAGGTGCAGGGCATGATCGACGCCGCCCGGAGGCAGTGCATCCAGTCGCTGGGCATGCCCAAGGACCAGCGCCCCCTGATGAAGGAGCCCAACCCCAGCGAGAAGGAGAAGTGCCTGATTGAGTGTGTCCTCAAGAAGATCAAAATGATAGACGCCACCAACAAGCTGAACCTGGCCCAGGTGGAGAAGCTGACCAGCCTGGTGACCCAGGACAACAAGGTGGCCATTGCCATCAGCTGCAGCATGGCCCAGAACTGCAACCGCTCCATCACGGAGAAGAAGCCCTGCCAGGCGGCCCACCTGTTCAACCAATGCATTGGCCGCCACCTGGAGAGGAACAACGTCAAGCTGGTCTGGTAGAGGAGCAGCTCATCCTCCAGGGACATAGTTCTGACCTTTATTTGGCTTCCAAATAACATGGCCTCAGAAGTATGTGTTTCATTCCAAAAATAATTGTATCTTAATTAAGGAATCTAATAATTTTTGATTTTAAATTTAAAAATATCAAACTGCCGTTAAATATTTAATAAAAAATAGAAAAGTATCTCTCCTTGGCTGGGCACTTTATTTGTGTTTTTTGGGAACCACATCGTGATCGCCAACTTTAAGAAATTTTATTTAAAAACTAACGAAAAAAAAAATAAACTTTGGAAGAGGGTTTCCAGGACAGGGTCCAGAACCTACTGCTTGACCTCCGGAATTTTGAAGCCGGAGGAGCGCATCTCGCGGAGCATGCACATGGAAATGCCATGGGCAGCCTCGCACCTGGGATGGAAGATTAAAAAAAGGTATTGGAGATCGCCTTTGGAGGATCCTTGAACTTACTTATCCTGCTCGGCTTTGAGGAGCTCGTTGCACTTCTTGATGATGCGCCTGCCATCATCCTCGCGGTCCGGGAACATCATGTTCATCATCTCGATGGTCTTGTCCTCGTTGAACTGCAACTGGCCCTCGGGCATCAGCTCGAACTGCTCCAGCATGCAGTGGCGGAAGCACTTGGACTCCTTCTTGGGGTCCTCTTTGTTCAGAATCAGCTCGACGATGTTCTCTGCGGGATTGGAACTCATCGAGGACTGGACTCTCTAACCAAACGCCAAGCAGACTTACCCCTGGCCGGCTTGGGGGTGCAACCGTCTCCGAACGGCTCGATTAGCTCCACCACCTCGTCCACGGTCATGGAGACCTCCTCCTCGTCGGCGGAGACCAGGGCCAGAAGGAACCCGGAGCAGACCAGCGCCAGGACCAAGCAGTTGGATTTTTGCAGCATTTCCGAGGGTGTCTTTTGGAAAGTGAACGGCCAGCGAATGCCACCCGGCGTATATATACCCTCCAAGGTGTCGTGTGTCCGGAGCATCCGGTACACCAGTAGCTTGTAGATTCCAGCCGGCGATAGCCATGACATTGGCGGGCCAGGGCATCATGCAACCATCCATCCGCCGACCCACAAAATTTCATCAAAAAACTGGGATTATTGGAAGCGCTTTAACCTTTATTTCGAGTCTCGAGGGTTAAGAAGTGTTGGGAAAAAAAATATTTTGGGGAAAAAAAACTTGATCCGTATCCTGGTGCTCCTTGGCCTTAGGGGAACAGAAACACACTGATGTTGTTCTTCAGGCAAGTGAGCAGGGCGTGGGCGGGATCGCAGTTGGGGGCGTTCTTCAGGCCCACAGTGGCGTCCTTGCAGAGCTGGATGCCCTTCTTGTACTCGTCCTTGTAGTTGTCGGGCAGCATTATGTCCATTTGCTTCAGGGTCTGTTCCAGTTGGAACTTGCCCTTCTTGATCTACGAAGGGATTAAAGTTTTTAAAAATATTTAAGACCCTTTTTTCCAGTAGCTCCCTTATATGTACGTACCGCCTGCATCATCTCGAGGATACAGTTTATGTAGCAATTGGTGTCCTTGCTGTTGGGTATGTTGCCATTTTGAATGCCATCGGCCACCTCCTGAGTGATTTTGGGGAACTTGGGCAGGCAGACGTCGCGCATCAGCTTTCCGGCGGAGCGCATCTGCTCCTCTGTCACCTGAGAGATGGTCTATAAGTTTATCCTGGACTCCTGGCAAAAGCGAGACACATACCCCGGCATCGATCCTCGGCAAGAAGAGCGCCACACCACCCAGGCACAGAAAAGTAATAATCCACAGATCGAACTTCATCGCTGGAACTGAGACGGTAAGACCTTTGGCTAATATCTTTTATAGACGACCGGAGACATGCAAATACCGGAGAATATAATGGCTGGGGCTCGGGGTGTGCTAGTGGGTGTGGGAGTGGTGGGCCAGGGCCCAATTTCCATATCTTGGGGCCTGTAATCTTGTCACATTAATTGACAAGTAGGACGGATGGAGTGTGTTGGGTCACCATTCGGACCGAGATCACGCGAAGTGCGTTCGACAGTCGCATTTCCGATCATGCAACCCAATCCGACCCGCCGATCCGATTGCCGTTTCTAGATTTGATGGGGCGGGGCGGCCTAACAATATGAAATCAAAATAAAGCCAAATCATATTAAGTTATTGTCAACAGGTCTGGTCTTCCAATGGGGGTTCTATTGCTACCTTTATGGAGTAGTTAATACTCGAACAAAATACCCCAACCCGAAGCATTGCATGTACGAATAGTGCCAGAAAACAATCCAATTCGAAATATGAAATTATATGGCTGATATATAATTTGTGATTATATTTAAGATTTTAGGGTTTTAATGGCGAGGTTAATCAACAAGACATCTTCATTAGTTGACTCGTAAAGGGTCAACTATACCTATAAGCTATAGCAGAACTACGGAAGTGGATTACATAGATAATCTTCTATAAGTTATTGTCAAGCGGTATAACCATGGAATAGTGTCACACGAGAGGTATAATATAATAAAACATTAAAATTGTGTATATTTATTGGCTTAGTTACAAGACATCTTCTTTGGGTACCTCCAACAAGAGGTATTATCTTTGAAATTCATTGCCAAGAGGTATAACCTTGGAATCGTGTCAGTCTTTTTTCTTTATAAAGTAATTTAACATAATATTATAAAATATTAAAATTTAATATATTTATTAGGTTAGTAACAAGACATCTTCTTTTGGTTCTTTATTAAGAATCAACTTGTGAAAACTTGGGAATCTGAGGTACATATTACTTCCTCAACTTCCTCTGTAAATTCCTCTAACCAGAGGTATAATCTTTGTAATTCATTGTCAAGAGGTATGAGCATTGAATGGTGACTGTTTTTGTTACCTTTATAGAGCAATTTATATTTTAAATAATTGATACTGGAACAAATTACCCAAGCCCGATTGCATGTAGAAAGAGTGACAAAAAAGCAAATCCAATTCAAAATATAATATTACACGGGTGCTTTATAATTTGTGATTATATAGGTATTTAATATGAAGGTTAATCAACAAAAGACCTTCATTAGGTTGCTTATTGAAGCCCTAATTGTGTCGTTTTGATGAGTAGTTCCCAAGCGTTATGTAGGGCGTATGTAGAAGGTATTTCTCAACTCTAGATTGGATGTATGGATGTACTTCTTATTAGAAGCAGTTTATAGTTTATAGTTTTCAAGAATTTAGAGTGAAGAATAAAGAAACTGAAAATGAAGCTGAAGCTGTGGAACTGTAATGAACTATACTTACGTTATTTTGCACTTACAGAAGGACATACTTTCCTTAAATGTGTTATTGAATTACGTACACACGTAATTATCCTTAAAATGCAAAGACATCAATAAGGTTGTGTATGTTTATAGTTCTTTTAGTTCATAAATTCATAACTGAATCCTGATAGCCAAGAGGAGTCATTTATGTTAATTGTACATTTATTGTATCTATCCTAATTGTACAAAACTTGTTAAAAAAATTTTTAAAACTATTATCGAAAACTTAAAAAATATACATGAATTGTTGAATATATGTTGAGTTGTTGGACCAAAGAAATAAATTGCCAAATATTAAATAAACAACGCCTTCAACACGGCATGAACCCCTTAACAAAGGTCTAGGTCTACTGTGGGGTAGACCTGTGGGGTAGACCTAGAGACGGACCTAGAGGGGTACTTGTGTCATTCTGTATTCTGACAAGATGGCTGTATTACGAAAGAGAACTACATACATAGAATGTACTTTATAATTATTAAGGCATTGTAATATTTAAAGAATCATTTTTAACTCAATTTATTCACTAAAAAAAATTTATATTTACAAAAAGTGCGTGATACTAATATGGAATAGATTGTTAAGAGTCCAGAAAAAATACCTTATCAACTTAGAATAGATAATGGGTAGTGACAGATTGTTTGGTGTTTCCAATATTTAAGTGTGCGGGAAAACCCGCTTACAATTTCTTAACCTACAAAAATAAAAATTTAGGTCTAACTTACAACTAAGAGTTATAATCTGAGGCTAGATCGTTTAAATGTGGATACGTGAAATTCTGACATCTTAAGTAGAAACCACGAGTAAGGCGTAGAACTGGGACACAGCATCGCCCAGACAGGTGCACTATAAAAAATTATTGCTTGGAATTATTGATTGATCTTAATAGAAATAGTTTATTTTCTAAGCTCAGGCAGGCGTTAAAGAGTTCGAACCGCGATGTTCACCTTTTTAATGGTGTTTTTTATATGGTCGCCAAATTTAAGTTTTTTGTCTAGTATTATAAAGAATCATTTTAATTAAAAAAAAAAGTATTGAAGAAACTTAAACAGTTTTCCTGAAGCGTTAGGTCGTTTGTAGGAATAATAGCATTGTATAGAATTATATATTATGAATTATATAAATACATACATATGCTCCTAACGATGGCGATACTAAGATAAAAACCCTATTGTTATTATCCCTAAAAGTGATTTCAATAATAAAACTTAAACAGCCGTGTTCAGGCTTTATTAAATCATGACGTTTATGGCTTACTTACATTACTCTAAAGTTTAATATGATGGAAGAATTTCATAAGAAGACCACACAGAACCATTTATAATAATTCCCAAAAAAGCAATCAAATCAACAACTGTTCCTTTTATTTCCCAGTCAATCAAGGAAGCCCTGAGTCTAGAGTCTAGTTGTGTGTTGTTCAATCGTAAATCTCAAACCTGAACAGATCGACAGCACGAGCTAAAGGTCTCCAAATTTGAATCTAAAAAAAAAAGCTCCAAGATGTCCGAGCAGTTCAGCTTCAACGAAGCCTTTAACAGTCAGACCGTGCGCGGACGCGCCAATGTGAGTATCCTGTGGCAGAGATCCTAAACTCCTCCTACCAACCGACTCATCCTCCAGGTAGCCAAGGCCACCTGGGCCTCTGTGGGCCTGGTCTACGTGCTGGTGAAGATGCATCGCCGCAACACTAAGCGCCGCGAGGCCAAGCTATACTGCAAGGGCTGCCAGCAGGCCATGCTAGGCTAGGAGGACGTCCTGCCCTCGGGGATCACCGCAGCTCTACCTGATGGGTAGGAGCACCTTCCCCACTCCATCCAAGTGTTTTCTTTCGTTTCACCAAATCCCATCTCGTGTACTTTCGACGAGCTAATAAAACTGTTGCAATGTTTCAATTAAACTTTTTCTGTGGATTTTTAATTCTTTCGTTTTGGGGAATATTTTATTAAAAATTAAAAATAATTGATACAAAATAAATTAGATTTCTGTAAGACTTTTAAATAAACATGGATGTAGGTCCAACATACCTATAAATGGAATAAAATGAAGAGCCCTGAAAAACCTTTAACCCGCAAAAACCTTCCAAGAAAGGAAACTAAATGATTTCTTTTGTGATACCAAGTACTTCTCGAAAATATGTACCTCCTTAATACCTTAGTAGTAAGGTACTAAGGTACTAAGGCCACTTGGGTACCTTACCAAGGGACATCGATTTACATACCCAGAAAAAGATTTTTTCTTATAAATTTTTGTTTTTTTAATATATATAAAATACAATATATACAATATTGTATGTTACATATATATGTATATGCTTTATGAAGATGGAAATATTTTATATCTCCCTGAAAAAATACCGTAACTTAAATAAAGACTTGCACTCCTTCAAGTACCGGGTATGATATACATAATTAGAGGTTATAGTGGTGGAATATGAAGAGAGATAGATATGAAAGAATATTTAGGAGATATTTATGTAGGAAGCATACCTATCTCAGACTTCTGAGATATATTCAGATGCAGATATATTTAGATTCAGTTTGGATAGACCCCAACTCAAAAACTTTAACAAATTTTTCTCAAACAACTTTTTTCAAATTGTCCAATCAATATTTATAATATTTTATCAACATTTTTTGTTTTATTTAATTAAAGACATTATATTGTCTCAAGACTTAAACGGGCCGTGAAGGAGTTCGTATTAAATTCGTATTAAATTTTATTCAAAACCCCAAGCGTGCTAGGAAGTCGAAATCCGAACCCGAGAAGGGTAGGCTAGGCCACAGGCTTCGTTTTGATAAGGCCAGACCTCGGACCCTGTAGCTCCCATTTGTTCAGGACCCCGCCCAGAGACAGTACACTCAGCCAGCACCCAGACCGCAGAGTCAAGAGCCCCTAGGAGCCAAGTTCAGAAACAGGAGCATGGCCGAGGGATTCAAGAAGTATTTCAATGGCACCACCATCAATGGGCGAGCCAATGTGAGTAGTGATGCCGCAATCCGCCCAGTTCCTCCTCCTTCTACTCCCCTTTCTAACCCAAATCTCCGCAAACTTGACTCTCAAAGGTGGCCAAAGCCACGTATGGCACGTTGGCGTTGCTGTACATCGTCTACCGGATGCGGAAGGGTGGATCCAAGCAGCAGTCCCAGCTGGCCAGCGGCAAGTGCCACTGCGAGAACGAGTCGGACACGGCGCCCCACTCCGATCCTGGCATCTATGAAGTGGATCCCGATTGCTCGGTCTGCCGGGAGCGATCAGAGAAGGCAATGACCGAGTACGACAAGGAACAGCAGCGCAGATCGGCCCACGAAGACGATGATGGCTGTCGCGACGATCCCCCACCGCCTCCGTCCGGCGGCCACCCGCGTCGCAAATGCCCATGCGAGGAGCCCAGTCGCCGTGTGGAGGGATCTGTAAAGCACAGTAGCCACCACATCACCGGAAACTCCTCCGAAAGCTACAAGGGACGGGGTCAACAGTTCCAGACACCGTATCAGTACCAGCAGCGATACAGTCAGACCAGTGCTGCCGGGCAGGCCGAGGCGGAGCAACTGCGCCCGACCAGTGCGCTGGTGGGCCAGGTGCACGACGCTGTCTACCGGGTGTTCCGCGGCGTAGTGGGCGCCATGTTCGGCGGCTCAACGACCAGTGCGGGGAGCGGCGACAAGGCGGAAGGCCAAACGCCGAGAGGCGCCGGCTTGGCATCGGATCCGTCGGCCACGTCCCAGTCGTCCTCCGTGCTGGAAGAGCAGGAGGACGAGGAGGACCGCGATGAGGGCCTGGACTACGATGACAGCGAGGAGACGCCTCTGAAGCGGCGGACTGCCCCCCGATCCTGTGTGCCGACCAACCACGACATGCCGGGCGTGGTGGGTCTCGAGGACGGGCACTACCTCTACCACCAGCAGCCAGAGGAGTCCCCCTACTCCGCCTCCGCCCGAAATCAAGCTCATCCCGGATCGGAATCGTCCAAGTCGCGTCAGAATGAAAACGATTATAGCGGCTTCACCGACGGCTTCGCCTCCGGGCTATTCTTTGGCGACGAGGATCAGTAGAGGGAGTGAATTCCAGGACCAGGAACAGTTTCAGCTCGCAATCTGTGCGGGTGCTTCTGTAAAATTCAAAATTTCCAAATAAACCCGTTAGGGTACTTTTATGAAGAGCATTACATAAAAAAGTTTTTTTTCTTTTCTGGGCTGTTGATCTTCCCAAGGAAGCTCCGACACAGACCATGTTTGGTCCCTTGTAATATCGTATGTGGATCTACCCCATACGAGGGACTCATGGTCTACCAATTTCACCACCCTGAGGCTTTGGTAAATTTTTGTTTGTCCTATTTGGATCTATATCTGATACTTCTGTGATGTCGGTTAGGAATCTTTCTCTGAGTTTTGATAGGACTGCAGGGCTGGGAAATGGCATAGATGATGCTCCACGGTTTCTTCCTCCTCTTGATCCCTACAGCTGCTTCAGTAGTCGTTGATGGGTAAACTCATTCGCCTAGAATGGGTTTGAGTTTGGGGTATCGGGCCAGAGTTGGCGTTTCATCCGACCATTCGGGACAGGTTCCCATTTCCATTATTTCTTTTATTGGCTTCCCTAAGATTGAGATTGTAAGAGGCTTTTGGTATGCCAGAACCCTATATTTCAGACTGGAGAGGTGTGGTGGTACCTGCCTGTGATGTCCCTGTGGCCAGGGACCCAGATGGGGCTAATATCATACAGGATTGACATCTCACATATCATACAGAGATCTACCGTCTAAGAATGTTTTCGAGTTGCTGGTGATCGAGCCTATTTATTTAATAGCTATTTTATTTAATTATTTAATTAATATTTAATTTAATAGTTCTATATATTTACTTTGCTGCGTGGGAGGTTGTATAAATTGAGATGCTTTATGAGGAGAGTTAGTCTCCCCACACGCTAAGACAGATAGCCGTGGGCAAAGGGGGGGGCCGAGGAGGCGCGAAAGCGGAAAAAGGGGGTCAAGCACCGGTCATCAACCTGGCAGCCAAATGGAATGTCGCCAGGATCAGTACGGGGGGTTGGGGGGAATGTGAATGCCAGTTACCGTGGGTTCCGGCGAAGGGCGAAATAATGCTACCCGTGGGAGGACGGATCTACGTGGAAAGTAACGGTGTCCGGTGAAGGGGTAAACGCCGCCACCCGGGGGAAGACGGAATCGACGTGGAACGTAACGGTTCCCAGAGCAACGATGGAAAAGTAGTCCAATGGGGGAATCAGCACGATGCGCAGGCGTGCCTTAAAAAGTATGGCGGAGTGAGCATCAAAGGAGTGGCAAGGAGCAAAGGGGGGTTGCGACGCAGAGTGCAGCGAGCCCTGGAAGCCCACCGGTGCACCACATACCTGCAGCAGAGATCCGTGGCCGGGGGAAACGGGGGGCCACGCATAGCGACCCGCCAACGGGAAAGTGGCGTGATTCTGGAAGCAGGATTAACGGAAGGAGCAGAATCCGGGAGGATTAACGGGCGCCCCAATCAGTATAAAAGGAGGCCCATTGGAGCGGATCGGGACGAGTCTTTTTAGGAAGCTTGTAGCGTTGAGTTGGAGGACCGCCTGTGGAGAGTCCGCCATCCAAGTGTTAGAGCGTTTCTAAAAAGGATTCGGTTTGTTTGAGTTGAAGGACCGCCTTTGGAGAGTCCGACAGCCAAACGCGAGGAGAGCGAAAAGACAAGTGAGGAAAGGATCCGTTGCTGGACGGTTCCTCGACAAACCCCGGGTAGTGTAGTCGAGTTGGTCCATTCCCGAACACGGCAGGTAGCCTTGCTAGGAAGTGAGGAAAGGATACGTCTGGCGTACGCCTTACCGACTCCTGAAATCGCAACCAACAGGCGTGGTCCTGCGAGACAAGGATAGATCGACTCGGGATCGCACGCCCGGTGTACACGAAACGTAAAGGACGAGACACAAGACAGAACCAGGGTGGGGAGACAGAGTTGAGCCACTCCCGAACACGGCAGGTAGCCTTGCTAGGAAGTGAGGAAGGGATAAGTCTGGCGTATGCCTTACCGACTCCTGAAATCACAACCAACAGGCGTGGTCCTGCGAAACAAGGAGGCCGACTTGGTATCACACGCCCGGTAGTCACGAGACGTACAGGACAAGGGAGACAAGGACCCGTTGCTGGACGATTTCCTCTACGAGCCCGGGGCGTCAGAGTCGAGTAGGGCCATTCCCGAACACGGCAGGTAGCCTTGCAAGGAAGTGAGGAAAGGATACGTCTGGCGTACGCCTTACCGACTCCTGGAATCGCAACCAACAGGCGTGGTCCTGCGAAACAAGGATCGGCCGACTCGAGAACTGACGCCCAAGTCAAAGACCTAGTGGGAGCACCCCGGTCACCAGCCCCGCCACTACAAACTCGGGTTCACCGGCGCGTATGCACGGTGTCCCGGTGTAGCGGGAACGCGACGCACGGTCAGTCACACGGCAACTTCCAAACCTGGCACCAGAGCGTATGCATGGTGTCCCGGTGTAGCGGAGGCGGCAGTCGGCAACTTCCAAACCTGGCACCGGAGCGTATGCACGGTGTCCCGGTGTAGCGGAGACGTCACCCGGCAACTTCCAAACCTGGCACCGGAGCGTATGCACGGTGTCCCGGTGTAGCGAAGGCGTCACCCGGCAACTTCCAAACCTGGCACCGGAGCGTATGCACGGTGTCCCGGTGTAGCGAAGGCGTCACCCGGCAACTTCCAAACCTGGCACCGGAGCGTATGCACGGTGTCCCGGTGTAGCGAAGGCGTCACCCGGCAACTTCCAAACCTGGCACCGAAGCGTATGCACGGTGTCCCGGTGTAACGGAGGCGGCAGTCTGCATACAAACTCCCAATCCTGGCATCGGAGCGTATGCACGATGTCCCGGTGTAACGGAGGCGACAGTCCGCAGCCATCATCTGACCAGTCGTAGTCGACCCAAGGGGGTGTTTTCAAGGCAAAAGGGCGGAGGGTAGCGGAATCGCTAGCAGCGCGGCCCCAGGAGTACCATCGGCGACGGAGTAGCGGCGGCGTGTCCTCAACAACCCGCAGAGGACGCAGACGATGGAGCCGGCAGAAACGGAAGGAGCAACGAGGAAGAGAGAAGGAAAACCTTTTGTATTGTGAAGAGATCTCAAAATAAATAGTGTGGAAATCTCAAGCTATTTGTATTATTTTCTGGGCTTGGGCAATCACGTCGAATCTATAAATTCGGTGGATCGGATCCGCGAAACTGTGGCGAGCGGAAGCAGAAATAACAGTTCGTTACAGCTTTTGATACTGATACCTGGTGGTCCGGAGTATACACCTCTTCCTTCTAATTTCGAGTCGGGGGCTTGAGCATTCCTCACTTTTCCTCACTCACTTTCCGTTTCTTAGGAGTACAGTAGTCTGTGCTGGTAGGAATTTGGGTATCGTTTAGTGAAAGAGTGGATTGTCCAATAGCTTTACTATTAATAGTTTACAAAAAAAACATCATAATATTTAAAAGATAAATACAGTCCCTCATATTAAATTGCAATATAATCATCATTTCTCATAGACTTTGATGGGCTAAGGGTAATTTCCATATTGTGGCTTTCCATAAGATGGCTTAGATCTTAAAAGTTGAAGCAGTTTATAAAAGGAGTTATTCTTAAGAACTTTTAAGAGAATTGGGAATCAAACTGTAAATAAAGAACTACAACATTGAACCCAACAGGTCCGCCAGGACTTGGTTAAGTTTTCAAGATTAAGGCTGGGAGACATTCTCCTCGAATGTCCTCTCTACCTGGAAGAAAGAAACAATATCCTACCCTCAAACCAGCCTGAGTTCCTTACCCCTAACACCTTAAATATCCTAACTTCTCTGAAATTCCAATAAAGGCAATAAAGTTATACCACCCCATACAAAACCTAGTCACAGTAAAAATTTAAATATATAAAAATGTAAATATTTATACAATAAGCGGAGCTTAAGGACACAGGAGCTATAGCTTATATAGTTATATAGTATTAAAACATAGGTTTTCAATTTTCATATAACCTGAGAATAAATAAATAAATGCTAAATGAGAATTAATAAATAAACAGAAACTCACTCTTTATTATTATATTTAGATTTTATTAAATTATTAAATTTATCTAATAAAATGTTAGAATAAGGCTAAGTCTTTGGGCTGGATAGTGGTCGGTTCTTCTTCTACTTCTAGTAGAGATATCGACTTTATTTTTTTTTAGGTCTATGATGGCTTTTCAATGTTATTTAAAAAATATCATGATAATAATCAAAAGTAAAAGCTACAAATATGACTCCCATATAGGCAACATGTTTTTAAACAAAACTGACAAATCAGTTTATTTATGACACCATTTATAAACTAATTAATAAGGGCAAAAACCTAAGATTCCAAAAGTTCTTCTTCATCTGTAGAGTCTGTAATGGATATAGTATCGTTGGGCTGGCTCTTCGATTCTTCTTTAAAAATACTGTCGTAGCATGGTAAAAAGTCCACGTCTATTGCTGTATTGATAAAGCTTCTAATTAGCGTATATTGACGCTTTGTCAAATCGGCTTCTGTTATAAGGTCTATCACAGAAAAGGGTTTTGCTGGTAAAATGGATGGCTTCTCTTGTAAGCCTGCGGAATGTAAACCATCTCCAGCGGACTCCTCACTTAGTTCTGTAAGGTCCTGAATACGACGTAGTTTTATCCTTGGAAGAAATTTTCTCGACTTTTGAAAACCAACTTGAATATTTCCTGTCCAAATGATATTTATTGCGGTGGAATTTCTTCCAAAGTTCAGAAATTCTCGTGCAACGAGTTCTAAGTAAAGTTCTCACTTGAGGATGATCAAATGTGTAGCCATGGTTTTCTTTGTAATTTTGAATTACATTAAAGACATCTCTCAATTTTTCAGCTATACCGCCTTTGCTAGAGCGCCAAATATCAAATATATAATTCCGCGAAAGCTCGCACTCGTAAGATGTTCCTAAAATAGAAGAAATTTAAATGTTAGAAAAAGAATAATAAAATAAATAAGCAAAACAAACGTAACAGAGACACAGAAACGCAAAACAAGGTTCATGGCTTCTAAAACGTACTGAAACTGGACTCGCACATATTCGCAGTTGAATTTCACAAATAATGCTTATTAAATATTGATTAATTTTTTTAAACAAATTTTCATCAAGGATGACTAGGAGAAGAAGACTGATTCTTAGTTCGGCTGAACCCAAAAATGAGTCTTCATAAACCATTATTGTTTTGGTCACAAAAAGCATGCACAATTACTGGAACTTGCAATAAAACAATGTACATAAATACATACCTTCTACTTTAATATTCATTTTGCCTTAGTTACTCCAAATAAAGTTTAAAATTGTTTTTTTTTTAAAAGATTCCACGGCCTTAAGCTGGTGCGCACGCCTGCATCTGATCGCTTGAATTGTGCCTCACATTTGCACGCATTTTTCTGCGCGAATATGTGGAGCACAACAAAAAGAACGATTGTTTTGGTTCATCGAACGTTGTCTTATCGATAAAAAGACGCGCCATATTTGAACTTTAAAGCCAAATATTGATTTCTTGCCAAACCCCCTTCCATAATTGAAACACCATAATCTTTAGTATTTTCATAATTTTTTGCTTGTTTTGCATTTTAATTAGCTTTCAGTTTAGTTCAGATAGGTTCCTTTAGGGCGCATCTAACTCTTGAATTGATCATCATTAGCAACGAATTTGGTTTTTTTTTGGCTCGAGGCCTTTGTGTTTAGCGTTATTCCATTAATAATCTTAACTGCTCTCCGGGCAGGGTAATACGGATTCGGATTCGGACTCGGGAATGGATGGGGCTAATGGGGTTCGAGTTGGATGGCGTCTAACGTTCAAGCCTTGTGTTTATAATGAGAGGACTCCAACTAACATTTATATTTAAATATGTTTATGCGTAATATATATATACGAGTACATATATATATATAATATAATATGGAAATAACATTAACGCTTTGCTTTTTGGTTTCAATATCCTTTCTCTACAAGCCGTCTTTCTCTCTCTCTCTATCTCTTTCTCTTTCATGCTTCCACCGCATCATCTCTTTCTTTCCATTGTCATCCTGCTCTGTGTCATGTGCTACCTTTAAAATATATGTATATATACGTGTGGGTTTTTTTTTAAGTGTATCTATGTGTAATGTGTTCGCGTGAGTGGCGTTTTTTCTTTTCTAACTTTGAAGGCTCTTTGTGTTGAATGTGTCCTAGTATCCTAGCTGAGAATCATCATAAATAGTGGGTTGGTTCTCCTCCTCCTTCCTCTTCAGATCCTTTCAGGTAAGGCAGATTCTGTGGGGGCGGGAGCCTAGCCCTCGTGGCTGGCCACCGACTCCAGGTCGCTGTTGTCCTCGCTGCCGGTCGCCTCGGTGGGTTCGCCCATCGCCACGCGGGCGTACTCGTCGGTGTCGATGCTCTTGCAGAAGTGTATGGCGTACTTGAGCTTCTCCAGGAGCACAGCCTGGAATTAGGTCCGCAGGATTAAAATTCAGGATCTTGATATTAAAAAGAAAGACCTCACCTTGCAGGAGTAGCGCGGCATCTTCAGCAAAAAGAAGCAGGTATAGCTCTCGGGCAGGAAGTGGTCGGGCGGGTTCTTCTCCAGCACTTGGAGCACAAAGTCCCGTCCCCGGAAATCGGCAATGGTGCGCGGCAGACGGGTGCGGCCCCACACGAAGCGCAGGAACAAGGAACGCTCCTGTAAGCGAAAGTCCAATTTAGAGCTAGGAGATCCAAAGACCTGATTCAGAGACCCACCTGATTGGTAAACTCCTCCATCACCTCCCAGAACCAGGTGACCAGGGCCGAGCCGGGATCGAAGCCCTTGTAGGTGGCCACCGACTTGAGCAACCCCAGCGGAATGTCCGGCGAGCCGCAGACCATGGCCTGCAGCTCTGCGGCGGAGAAGAGCGACAGCAAAGGCACTGGAATCACCTTGGACATACCGTCCCGGACGGCCTTCACCTGCTCGTCGAACTCGTGCAGCCGGAAGCCCAGGGCCAGCCGTACGTACTCGGCCCTGTTCCTCGGCGAGATGTGCGTGTAGCGGGTGGACAGCGGCACCTCATGGCCCCGGGCCGAGGACGTGGAGAACGGCAGTTCCAGGGTGTTGAACAGCTTGGGATCGTCGTCCATGTTCCGGATGCAGAGCAGCCCGGCCACGTAGTCGCGATCCACCTCGGTGAGGTCCGTGGGCCGGAGCACCTCGCCGGTCAGTTGCCTCCAAACGGGCTCCGCCAGGCTGGAAAATAGGTCAGAGATTAGGGATTGGATTAAAGTTGGGAGTTCAAAATTGGGAAGCGAAGCACTCACTTGATGCTCAGCGGTGATCCGGTGCGCACGGCAATGCCCATGAGCACGCCCAGGAAGCGGAACATGTTCATCTGCAGCACCGACGACAGGGTGGGATCCAGCAGGAAGCAGTCCCGATTGGCGCCCGCCTCGCCCCGTCCGTTCGGGGTGCTGATCAGGAGCGGGACGCTGCCGTTCTGCAGTTCGTCGCACATCTCGGCGATGGACTCGCTGTATCCGCCGCCACAGTCGTCCACGCTCTCGCCCACGAACTTCACCTTCCAGACGCGGTGCGGCAGGGCCAGGGCCTCCTGGGTGAGGAGCGGCAGCTTCTGGACCATCTGCCCGAACACGCTCTTCATGCCGTCGATCCCGGCCAGGCCGTTGCAGCGGCTGCGGGAGCGCTTCACCTGGATGCGATTCAGCTCGATGACGGGGCCGTGCTGCTTGTCCCGCACCATGGTGGTCTGGATGACCTTACGGAAGGCAGCCTCCTTGATGTTGTACACGAGGACGTCCTTGAGGGCGCCGAGGCTCAGGTCGCCCGAAATGGGCAGCATCGCCAGGCAGGGGCACAGCAGCTCCGAGAAGTGGTGCAGCAGGATGAGCCGGGCGTGGAGTGCCTCCGGCGCCAGGTCCCTCACCAGGTCGTACTCCAGCGGCGGGTTGGGCAGTGGGCGCAGTCGCTCGCTCAGCTGTGAGGTGGAGAGCGCCAGGGTGTGGGCCGACCCGCAGGTTACCTTCACGATGTGCTTTCCCTGCAGGGCGGATACCAGGCGGGGTCGCTGGATGGCCGTCACCGTGCCGTCGCCCAGCTGACCCTCGTCGTTGTCGCCCCAGGTGTACACCTCGCCGGAGTCGCTGCAGGCCACGCAGTGGAGGGAGCCGGTGGCGATCGAGATGATCTTCTTGCCCTGCAGGGCGGCCACCTTCTTGGGCCGCCGCACGTGGTCCACAGAGCCGTGCCCCAGTCGGTGGAAGTCGCCCTTGCCCCAGGTGTAGACTGCTCCGGACTTGGTCAGGGCCACGGAGAACTGCGATCCGCACTCCACCTTGATCACGCCCAGGCCGGCCAGGCTCTCGATCTTGTAGGGCAGCTTGCAGCCGTCGCTGCCGCCGCGTCCCAGCTTGCCGTAGTCGCCGTCGCCCCAGCTCCAGACGTTGTCGTCGTCGGTGATGCACAGGGTCTGGGCGTCGCCGGAGCCGCAGGCTATGTCGATGGCCCGGTAGCCCAGCAGCGCCTCCACCAGCTTCGGTCTCAGTTGGTCCTCGGAGTCGCCGTGGCCCAGGCGGCCGTATCTGCCCTTGCCCCAGGTCAGGACCTGGCCGCTGGCCGTGATGGCCGCCGAGTGGGCGCTGCCGCAGGCTATGTCCGCCACGCTCATCCCGTGCAGGTGCTCAACGAGCTTGGGCCGGTCGTAGCTCACCCGGTTTCCGTGTCCCAGCTTGCCGTCCTCGCCCTCGCCCCAGGCGTACACCTCGCCCTCGGTGGTCAGGGCCAGGCAGTGCTTGCCGCCGGAGTTGACGGCCACCTTCTTCACGAAGACGTGCTGCAGCGAGCCCAGCAGCGTGGGTATGGCCCAGCTGTCGCTGCCTCCAACTCCCAGCCTGCCTCCGGAGCCGTAGCCCGTGGCGAAGAGTTTCCCATCCGGGGTGACGGCGAACAGCGACTGCTCGCCGCCGGCCAGCTGGACGGGGCGGAGGAGGCTGAGGGCCTCGCAGGGGGTGGGCGTTTTGATGCGGCTGCCCTCCAGGCCGCCCAGCTGGCCGCGGTGGTTGTGTCCCCAGCCGTAGATGGTGCTGGCGCCGCCCCAGCTCAGGGCCCAGTCGTCGGGCCGGCGGTTGAGCCACTGGAGCAGCTGGGCGTCGTGCGGGGCCTGGAACAGGGAGTGGTCCTCGTGCAGCAGGATGGACGAGGAGTCCAGTTGCGAGCCCGGGCACATCAGGGACTCGTGGTGGTCCGCCTGGTGGAGGAGCGGTGGTGGGGGCGGCGGTGGCGACACATTGCTGGCCGTGCTGGACGACAGCGATGTGGTAGAGTTCAGCATCGATGCTCCGGGGGACTGGCCGCCGCACGGATGGGAGTTGGAGCTGCAGCTGGCCGCGGAGCTGGGCAGCATCTCGGCGAACTTCTTCCGCACCTCCAGGCAGAAGGCGCGCGGCAGCTCTGTGCGGCGGATGAGGGACTGGGCCACTCTCACGGCGATGCAGTAGCGCTTGAACCACGCCCACTTGTGGAGGTCCCCGCCTCCGCCGGAGGCCGAGCTACACGCGGCCGCACCCGAGACTGAGCTTGGGCCGGATCCAGATCCAGAGGTGGCTGCGCAAGCGGCGGCTAGGATGGCGGACGACGAGCCCATGGTACAGAAGGCGCTGCTTCCTCCGAGTCCTCCTCCTCCGCTAGTTGCTCCGCCCGTTGTGGAGGCACTGCCGCTGGTTACCATGGGCAGCGAGGCGTCCAGCTGCATGTCGCAGGCCAGGGCGGCCAGGGTCTTGAAGTAGTCCGAGTGCATCAGATGAATGCCTCCTCGCACCTGCGGCTCCTCGTACTCGTACTGCCGCAGGAGTTCCGGGATCAGGGGCTGAAGCAGGCCGGCCAACGACGGGTCCTGGGGGCGGGGAGCCTGCTCCAGCAGCAGGACTGCGTGCAGCTTGCGCAGCGACCAGATCCTCTGCGCTGTGGACAGAGCTCCCAGCTGGGAGCAGGCGGCCAGGGCGGAGGCCAGGCGGAGCAGCACGCCCGGCTGGCGGGGGGCTAGGCGGGAGTCCAGCAGGGACATCACCAGGGCCATCGACGGCTGCGAGAGCACCGCCCGGTCGGACCCGGTCTCGCCCAGAGTGGCCGCCGGCATGACGGCGTGCACCCAGAAGCGCCAGCCCCAGCCGTTCACGGAGCTGTCCGAGGAGAACTTCCAGCGCAGCTCGTCGCCGGGCACCCGGATCTCCGGCGCCCAGTGGGCGAACTCCCGGCCGGAGCGCATGGCCAGCACCCGGCCCGTTCCGTCCATGATGACCAGCGGATCGTTCCGCTTCTCCGTGCTGCACTGGCTGTCGAACTCCAGGCGCAGCATCTCCGCTCCGGGAATCCTCACTGCTCCCGTCACGTTCACGTTGTCCACGTAGGGGTGGCTGCTCTCCTGCATCACCGGCTTGGGCAGCTTGCCGAGGCAGTGGCGGGAGGTGCAGAGGTCCTCCAGTTCCGTGATGCAGGTCTCCAGCAGCATGGCCGCCACGGCCGGCGAGCCCGCTCCCAGGGAGATCAGCGTCTCGGCAATTGTCTGGGCCGTGCTCGGTGGCCCGCATCGTCCGCACACCGCTAGCTTCAGCAGCTCCACCAGGCTCTTGGCCTCCGGCTCGCCGAGCAGGCCGCCAAAGTCGTCCAGGCCGTGGCAGTGTCCGATCTGGGCCAGTATCTCCTCCTGCTGCGTCATGGTGGCCGCCATGACGGACATGGCGCTGGCCGACATCCGCGAGTGCTTGTGCTGGGCGGGCAGGGCGCTGCTGGACAGGGATCCGGACATGGACAGGGAGCCCGTGAGACTCTGGAAGGCGCTCAGTGGCCCGGCCGTGAGGGGAGGCAAGGTGGCCGACATGCCCGCCACTACGCTCACTCCTCCGCCTCCTCCTGTGGTGGTCATCAGCTCCAGTGGGAGGTCGGGGCTGTGCTCCTGGAGCGCTGCATCTGAGGCGTCTGCCGGGGCCTCGCCTCCGCCCTGAGCAATGGGCTCCACGGTGGCTGCTCCAGTTTGGTTGTTGACTGCTCCTCCTGCGCCGACTCCTCCACTGACTCCCGCCAGCTGCTCCTCCTCGCCGACGCCGCCGCCTATGCCGCGCTCCTTGTAGTTCACCTTGCTGTGGCTCGTCAGGGCGGCGACGATCAGCTGCCGGGCCTGCAGGATGCTCATGGCACGCAGGACGTGGGCCAGGGCGGCCTGCCGAGCGGCCGGACTCTCCAGGGCCAGGCTCTCGCTTAGGCTGGTGAGGCTCGGGGGCTTGGAGTCCGGCTTGGTGGTCTGGTGCACTGCCTCCGCCTCGTAGATGCCCAGGCTGCTGCCGCCCAGGGGGTCCCGGGTGCTGCCGAACGGCACGGGCCCGCGCTTCTCCTCCTCCATGGTGGCGTTGGGCAGGCCCCAGGCTATCGAGTGGGAGCTGCCGCAGGCCACCCGGTTCACGAAGACGGCGTCCAGGCCGATCACCAGGGCGGGCTTCTTGTTCACGAACGTGTTCCCGCTGCCCTGCTGGCCGTGGTCATTGTCGCCCCAGGCGTACACCTGCCCGGCGTCCGTGACGGCCAGGCAGTGGAGAGCGCCGACGGCCACGTGGATGACTCTGCGGCCGCGCAGGCCGCCGATGGGCTGCGGCTTCCGGACGTGTTGGTCGCCGCCGTGGCCCAGCCGGTAGTAGTCGCCTTTGCCCCACGTCCAGACCTCGCCGGCCCGGGTCAGGGCCAGGCTGAACTGGGCTCCGCACTCGATCTGCACCACGCCGATCCCCGAGAGACGCTCGATCTCGTGCGGGGTGTCCGATCCCTCGCTGCCGCCGCGTCCCAGCTTGCCGAAGTCTCCGTCGCCCCACGAGAACACCGCTCCGTCCTCCGTGAGGGCCAGCGTCTGGGCGTCCCGACTGCCGCAGGCCACCTGGACGACCCTCCGCCCGGCCAGGGCCGCCACCAGCTTGGGCTTCAGTTGCGTGGCGTTGTCGCCGTGTCCCAGCCGGCCGTACTCGCCGAGGCCCCAGGTGTAGAGCTCGCCCTGGCTGCTGATGGCCGCCGAGTGGGAGGAGCCGCAGGCCACGTCCCGGATCTTCTTGGCGCGCAGCGCCTCCACCTGGCGCGGCTTGTCCAGCGTCGTCCGGTTGCCGTGTCCCAGCTTGCCGTCCTCGCCCTCGCCCCACGAGAAGACCTTGCCGTCCAGGGTCAGGGCCAGGGCGTGCTTCCCGCCGGAGTGGACGGCCACCTTCTTGACCACGTACTGGTGCAGCACCGGGAGCTGGTGGGGCAGCGGCACGTTGTGGGTGACGCCCAGCCCGAGTCGGCCGTTGGTTCCCTCGCCGCAGGCGTACACCTTCCCGTCCTGGCTGACGATGAAGAGGCTCTTGGATCCCCCGGCTATGTGGATGGGGCGCAGCCGACTGATGGTCTGCGAGAAGGTGGGCACCTTCACCTTGGAGCCCTTCAGGCCGCCCAGCTGCTCCTTGTCGTTGAGGCCCCACACCATGACGGTGCAGGGCAGGTCCTGGTCCAGGCCGCCGCCCGGCTCGCCGTGGGCGGAGCTTACAGCTCCCGGACCCACTCCGGAGCTGTACTCGCTGGCCAGGAACTGGGCGTTGGCCAGGATGTGCTGCAGGTCCGGCTGCTGGCGCCGGCCCACGAACTGCAGACCGTGGATCTTGCACTGGATCCCGTTGTTCTGGCACTGCTTCACCACGATCTCCACCCAGGGGTAGTAGGCGGGCACGTTCTGCATGAGCACCACTCGGGTGGCGCCCGCCGGCACCGGGGTCCAGGTGTACTCCTTCAGGCTGTCCACGCACTCGCCCACCCGGATCTCCAGCAGCGAGGGCATGTGCGAGTGGTCCTCCGGACTGACCGTGATGGCCAGGCTGTGCACCAGGACGCGGTCGTGCAGCTCCAGGCGTATCCAGTGCCGGCACGGCCCGGTGGAGCAGCTCTGCCAGATCTGTCCGCTTCCGTCCAGCAGGTGCTTGGCCGCCGCCTCGTTGGAGCTGACCGTCAGGGAGCGGATGCATCTCGACCAGTCCTCGATGAGATCAGACGGGGCCGGCGGGGGGGTTGGCCCACTCGACTCTCCCGGTTGTCCGAGGGCCCCGGCCATGGGGGCGGCGGCGCCGGAGGTGGCCACCAGTTCCACTTCGTTGATGTGACCCTGCCAGGCGGGAAGGTCTGGAAAGTCCACTGTCAGCTGCTTGCCCCGCACGGAGATAACCACTCCCGTCGCCTGGCTCCGGCCCAGGCGCAGCTGGGGGCCCAGAAGTCCGTGGCGCAGAGAAGAGGAGCGCAGCCGCACCTTGGCGCCGACCGCGATCGGCGGGGGGCGTGGCTGGTGCGGGGACTGGGCCGCCTCCACCAGTTCGATGTGGACGAAGCAGACCCAGTAGGTGCTGCCGTGGTTGCGCCAGTCGACTTGGACGTTGAGGTCGTGCAGTCCCTCGGTGTCCACGATGAGGACGGTGCCCATGTCGCCCTTCTTGATCTCCTCGAAGTCCCGGCAGCAGCGCACCGTCATCCCCGGCCTGACCAGGCCGCGCACGTACAGCGCGTAGAGGTCCGCGGTCTGGAAGTCCTTCCGAGATTCAAACTTGACCGGAGGCGGTGGTGGCGGAGCCGCTTCCTGGTTCGGCTGCCCTTCCACGGTGTCCGAGGACGAGGAGGAGCTTGATGCGGAGGAGGACGAGCTGGAGGAGCTGGAGGAATGGTTGCTGGCGCACTCGTTGTCGGAGTCCGCTTCCGGGTCGTGGGCCGAGCCAGGCCGCGGCGGTGGCGGCGCCGAGTCCTCCTCCTCAATGGTGTTGGCGCAGACGTCCGGGTGCTCGAGAATCCACTGGACTATCTGCTCTGGCGTGGGCATGATCTCGGCCTGGAGGGAGAGCTGCTTCAGGGCCAGCTCCACGGTTCGCCGGGTGAATCCCATCTCCATGATCTGTCCAATCAGCTGGTCATCGCTGGCCGCCGCCAGCCACTTGTTGCCCTTCGCCGGCTGCTCCGCCTGCTCTGTGGTCTTGGCCGCTGGTTTCTGCTCCTTGCTGCGATTCACGTTGTACACCGGCACTCCATGCACCATAGTGGGTTGCGGAGGCGTGGCCATGGCGAGGCCGTTGGCCGGAGCTCCACCGGCGTCTTCGACGATCTCCTGGTGGGCCTGGGTGGCCAGAGACTGGATGCAGTTGAGGGCGGCGGTGGCCAGGTCCGTGTACGAGTAGCAGGCCTTTACTGGTGACGCCTGGGTGGCCCGCAGGAGGATGCACTGGATGAGAAGCTGCGCCTCCTGCCCGCCGCTTCCGGCACTGCCAGACGACAGCTGGTGTTCCTGTTCCTGGTCCGCTGGTTCCTGGGCCTCCGGCTGCACGTCCGGATCGCTGCTGGGTTCTTGTCCCTCTCCGGAGCCGTATATGCTGCCCGGAGCTCGCTGCTTCAGGATGCGACGCAGTGCGGCTTGGTGGCGGTACAGGACTCCGTTTGTGTGGAGCACGGCCAGCTGGAGCTGTTGGGCGCGGAGCAGGCCCAGGTCGAGACGTCCCTCCGGACTGGCGGGCAGTTCGCGCAGCTCCGGCGACGGCCCGTAGAGCAGCACCGTCCAGGCGTTGAGTAGCATTTCGTTCATGGGCAGCCGGCTGAGACTGAAGACACTGTGGTCCAGATGGGGCAGCACGGCGGCAAGCGGCACCTTGACGAATCCTGTGGCGGAGGCAGCGCCTCCCTGGGCCAGGAGGCAGCGCCCCTTGGGCGTGAAGCTGGCGATGACCATGTGGCTCCCCTCGTGGAAGCAGTGCAGCCCCACACGGGGCCTGAGATCGTGTCCGCCCATGGCGGCGAGGACGCCCAGCACGAAGACCTGCTCGCTGTCCAATGGTTGGTGGGTGGCATGTGGTGGCGGTGACTGCTCCGCCAACAGCTCGGCGGCCACGCACAGCTTCTGGGCCAGGAAGGAGTTGATCACCGGATTCCAGGACGGCAGCGTGTGCAGGCGTCGCAGCAGCGCCACCAGCTCCTCGGCCACGCTCCCGGAGTGCGAGGCGGTCAGCAGCACCCGGGTCTTTCCCTCGCCGGTGGGTTGCAGGCTGACGTCGCCGGGGCAGTGGAGGGCGATGCGCCCCAAGGTGGCGAACAGTTGACGCACCAGCGCGGGCATGCGGGGCTCCTCTTCGACGCCCCACTGAGACAGGATGCACTGCAGCAGTCGCAGGCAGTGCAGCTGCCGGTAGACGCCAGATTCGCTGCCCGCCGGCTGCTCCAGCAGGGACAGGTAGTGCCCCAGCCAGCCGGGGGAGCTCAGCTCCAGGCACAAGCGCGGCGAGTCACCTGGAGAGTGGAGTACAAGGAGTTAGTGTTTGCCTTTCTTCCCTGAGAGTGGAGGACTCACCTGCAATGGCTCGGATGAATCCAAGGTTGAGCCAGCCCAGCGAGTTGGCCACACTGGACATGGTAGGCTTGGGGTCCACGATGGCACGGAACATGCTGGTGATGCCGCGCAGGGCGTGCTTGTCCAGCTGGGAGCCGTGCAGGCCACTGCCCACGGCCAGGATCTGGAGCAGCTTGGCGGCGCAGTGGCGCAGCAGCTTGGAGGGATGAGATTCGCTCGAGGGCGAGGACTCGCTGCCGGCCAGATCCTCGCGTTCCGGCTCCGTGGGAGAGGCCACGTTAAGGGCACTGTCCGCCAGCTGGAGGTCGTACTGGCCCTCCTTGCCCATGCGGTAGGAATTGGTGGCTCCGGTGTACCACTCGACGCGCACCCACCTGGAGGAGAGGAAGTTTGTTAGTCTCTGGTAAGAGGAGCATGTGAACCCCTTTAACTCACCCGTCTTCGCCCACCTCGCTGATGATGCGACCCTCGCCGGGAGGATTCCCGTCCTGGTCGCCCCACTTCCAGTCCGTTCCACGCACAATCCGCGTCCCGATCTTCATCAGCTTGGCCAGGTCGGGTCCACTCAGCTGCGCCTTGCTGGACTTCTGCTTAAGGACGCTGTCCTCGTACAGGACACTCAGCTCGCCGGGTGGCTGGCCTCCACCAGCTGCTCCTTCGCCGCCCGTCTGGGCCAGGAGACCCAGGACAGTGCCCAGCAGGCCAGAGTTTAGGAGGAGCCCAAGCTCGTTGGGGCCTAGTTCCTTGGCCAGCAGCCCGAAGACGCTCAGCAGGAATCTTGCGCGGGGCAGGCGCTTCAGAAGGACGTAGGTGCCTAGGTTGCTGCTGTCCTTGCCGCGGGCGTGGCCGTGCTGCTCCTGGTTGAGTAGCCGGCGCAGCTCCCTAACCGCCCAGTCGAGGACGCGGGACTGCGCCAGGAGCAGGCGAGTCTTCTGGTACGCGCTGATCATGTTCAGTTGGCCGAGCACGGGCAGGGAGCTTCCCGATGGACTAGAAGCGCCTCCGCCGGTACCGGGCTTCAGGTGCAGGCCCAGGAAGCCGTTCAGGAGGCTGTACTGGGTGGCGTCCAGGAGGCCGTGCAGTTCGAGTAGTTGCTGGACGAGCTGCAGCCCGGCCAGACGCAGCTGGTAGCGCTGCATCTGGCAGTACATGGCTCGGCGGGCCGTCTCGACGTCGCAGCTGTCCTGAAGGGCAAAGTCCACGATGTCCTGCATCAGGGCGGGATCCAGTTCTCCCTCGCCGTTGATCTGGCGCTCGTTGAGCCGTCGCAGCAGGCTCTCCTCCTCCTCGGCCGCCTGCTGCTCCTGCTGCTTGTCCTGTGGCTTCTTCTCCTGCTCCTGCTGCTGCTGTATGGTGGCGTTCAGTAGGTCCTCCAGCCTGGCCGGCTGCCTTGCAGACCGCAGCTCCTGGAGCAGGCGGCGCACTAGCATCCGGAAGCGCGGCAGCCGCTGGAGGATGGGCAGGCGGCGCAGTCCCCGTTGCTGTGGACTGATCGCCGGACGCACTTCGTACAGCAGGAAGCGGAGTCGCTCCAGGATGGGGGCGCAGACCTCCTTGTAGCTCCGGTTCATCTGTTGGCGGGTCCGCACCACCGACCACTTGGCCTGGTGCACCAGTCGTATGATCTCGCCCAGCTGGCGCGGCGGCGGCGACTCCCCTCCGTTTCCAAGGCATTCAGGACCAGACCGCCGAGGTACTGGTGTCGGATGAGCACGGCGCTGAGCAGACGCTCCAGTTCCTGGACGGGATGTTCCGTGGCGAACTCCTGGTGCCACATCAGGTTGTGTGCCTTGCAGTAGCGCTCCGTCAGGGTCACCCAGGCGGCCACTGGCGCCTCCGAGAGCCTGGCCTCGGCCAGTCCAGTCACAAACGCCTCCGCCCGTTGCTGCAGCTGGGACTTGCCGCGCACCTGCACCGGACCCTGCTGCTGCTGCAGGTGCTGGATAGGCAGAGGTGGCGCCTGGTCCGTGGGCGTGTTCCCGGCCGTGCTGTGGCAGCTGTGACTGCTGCGAGCCTCTCCCTTTTCCTCGTCAAAGGGATTGCTGGGCTGGAGCAGCTGCAGGCCTCCACTTAGTAGGCTGGACTTGTCCAGCTGGCGGCATTGCAGCTCCGCCGGCTGTAGCGCCGGCCCGTTGCACATCAGATTGGCCACCAGGCCCAGGAGCTGGGCCAGGGCGCACTCTGAGCTGAAGTGGGTGAGGCGAGTGGGTCCCGGGGGAGGGCTCTGCTAGGGAACGGACATGGTTAGTGGCTGAAGTGGATATAGGTTGGGGAGACCTACCTTGTCCTCTCCTCCTGCTTGGGACATGTACTTGCCCAGCTTGTGGTGTTGGAGGATCTGCTCCATGGCACTTCTGTGAGCCGGACTGCTCAGCTCCGCCGTCAGATCCTTGCCCAGGCCGGTGTCCAGGATGCCACGCAACGTCTCGGACTCGCAGCTGCAAAGGGAAAGAGGAAATAGCGGATTATTGGAGGAATCCGAGGGACAAGAGATCCACCTACTTGTAGCCACTCAAGTCGCAGACGTAGCCGGCCAGGATGATGCAACGACTTCCGTCCAGAAGGTGATTCTCCATGTCGGCGCGTCGCACGTAGTGGGTCTCGGGGTCGGCGGGCGGTGGACCTCCGTTCTTGGGGCCCCCTCGGCAGATGATGCCCGGCCAGCCCATGTCGTCGCCGTCGCGAAGTTCTCCCTCGCCCAGGGCCCTGTTCAAGCGGTCCAGGACTCGAAGAAGCGGCAGGAAGAGACGCGCCCAACGGAGTCCACCCAGGCACTGGGGACGATCGCGCTTCAGGAGCACCAGGCCCACGAGCAGTTCGTGGAGCAGGGCGTCCGACACGTCGGCCTGGAGGACGCGACCCAAGTGGCCCAGTTGCTGGCCGATGGGATGCTCGCCCGGCTCCCGGCACTGGAGCGCCAGTTCGTGGGCTTGCTGCAGCGTCGCTACGCAGGCGGGGATGAGGGCGTGCAGGTACTGGAGCAGCAGGGCCTCGGCGCCGGTGGTCTCCTCCTCTGGGTCCGCCTGATGGATGTGGGCCAGCAGCAGGCGCTGGAAGCGGTGCAGCAGACTCAGACTGGGACTGGTGCTCGGCTCCTGGGCGTGATGCCGGTTCTGTTCGCGCTCCTCCTCCTCCTTCTCCTGCTGCAGGAGCAAGAGCTGCTGCTCCAGCTGGTGATGCTTTCGCAATGCCGGCAAGAGGCGGGTCTGGGTGAGGGCCGCGATGTTGCCCAGCAGCCGCGTGATGAGCTGCAGGAGCGGCAAGTGCACCCCGTCGCCGCAGTCTGCGCCGCAGGAGCTGCTCTCCAGTCGGATGGCGTTCTGCAGGGCCGACTCGAGGCCGCCCTCGGCCATCAGGGAGCTGACTAGCAGATCGGTCATGAAGCGGTGTCCCACGGAGGACGCCTGGCCCGGCTCGGAGGGCAGCAGAGAGGTGAGGGTCTGGGCTCGCTCCGCCGCAGTGGGCAGGAGTACACTCCAGCCGTCCTGGAAGGGGACACAACATGTTAGCTATCCGCAAAGGCTTCAGAAATCGGAGCACTCACCTGCAGCGCCTGTTGCGCGGCCACCTGGATGGTGCGCAGCACCTGAGTGCCGCCCGCCAGACCCAGGATCCTGGTCTTGAGGCTGCTCAGCAACCGGCTGCCGCTGGCGAGACCCACTTGGCGCGGCTCCACGCCGTTGGCTATCAGGGCGAGCAACTGCAGCCGCACCAGGTTCAGGCAGGCCACGGCGATGCACTCGCTCTCCTGGTTGGGCGTCTGACGGTTGTCCTGGCTGCTGCACATGCACATGCCCAGCAGCTGGTCGAGCAGCCGGAACGTGGGCTCGCCCAGGTCGATGACGAAGGGTGCCCGCAGCGGCACACCCTGGTGGGAGCTCTGCGTCCAAATCAGACTCTGGCCGGCGGTGCAGGCAATGCCACTGGCCGGCAGCGTGGGCAGTGCCACCAGGATGGGGGTGCGCAGCAGGGGGTCGCTGGAGACGGAGGGAGGGCAGATCTGCTGGCTGTCGTTGCGACCCCATCCGAAGACCTCGCCGCTGCTGGTCAGGGCCAAGCAGTGGGCCACGCCCAATGCCACGTCCACGATGCGTTTGTGCTGGAAAGCAGTTGGAATTTTAGGAGGAACTACGCGGATCAGCGACAAGGCAGGCACTCACCTGAAGACTGCTGACCAGACGCGGCACACTGCATCCCTGGACGTTTCGCTCCACCAGCTGGTGGCCCAGGCAGGTTTCCTTGCCCCACGTGTAGACCTGTCCCTCGCTGGTCAACGCCACCGAGAACTGGGAGCCCGCAAAGACGCGTTGCACGCGCGGCAGCGACTCCACCAGGATGGGCTGCAGGCTGCCGTTGCAGTTGCCGTTTCCCAGCTTCCCGTAGTCGCCGTCGCCCCAGGCGAAGACCAGACCGGTCGAGGTGAGGGCCAGGGAGTGGGCGTCGCCGCTGCCCAGGGCCGCGTCCACCACCATGTAATCGGACAGGGCGGCCACTATGGTGGGCAGGCAGCGGTCGTCGCTGTTGCCGTGGCCCAGGCGGGCGTAGGTGCCGCGGCCCCAGGTGAGGAGTTGGCCGCCACAGGTGATGGCTGCACTGTAGGTGCATCCGCAGAAGATCGACTGGATGCACTGCGCCTCTAGGGCCGCGATCTTGGTGGGCACGGCGCGGGCGTGGGTGTCGCCATGGCCCAGGCGGTGATCTTCGCCGGCACCCCAGGAGTAGATGGCGTCTGGAAAGGCAAAGAAGAGGATTCATTAATATAATTAATTAATTTATTATAATCTGTATTTAAATTTAGGGGGGGAATATGTTAACTTCTTTGAAAAATTGCACTTTTTGGGGATTTTTTAAAATTAAAATTTTAAGCAATTGTTAATTAGGGTATGACCTTAATTAACTTTATTTTATTTATTTTTTATTTACTTATTTTATTTTATAAACTAACGAAGTAATAATATAATATGGAATATTATATAAGTAATATTTGTAATATTCCATAGAAAAACCTAAATATATAATTTTTATTATCTGCCGGAAGCATAAAAACTTAAAAAACTAAAATTATATTGTTTGAAAATCGGTTTTCCCAAAAATCCTTGGGAGGGTTTTTAAAAAACGAATTTTTTGAAATTCTTGTTCTTACATTTTAAAGGAAAACCTGTATATTTCTAATAAATAATATAAATAAAATATAATATCTAAAATTATCAAAATTATTATTAAACTCATAAACCATTTAATTAAATTCTTTAATAACTCATTAACCATCATTAATCCTCATAAATTGTTTATAGAAATTGTGTTTCAAATTTCAAAACAAATCAGGGCAGCAGTTTTCGAGCTTCGAGCATTATCCGACTTTGAAAAATGACACTCTATGGGAAAAAGTCACTGCTTCTTCAATTCTGCTTCGATTCGCAGACACAGAACTCTTAAGAAATTAAACAATTTAAAATAAATAAACAACTATTTGTTAAATGCGAAACCCCCTTTGGAGCTGCGTGTTTATTTTCTTGAATCCACAGCAAACAGGTGGAGAAAAGCTCCATTTTATGATATTTATTCGTAATAGCTTCAAACCTTCAAACGAGAGTAAAGCGTATTCTCGTAGTAGCTTGGAGGGCAATTTAATTGATTGCCAGATAATCGATCTAAAGGCTTAATCATTGTCTGAACAATTGCTCATTAAACCAACGCAATAACTAAGCAATTAGAATACGTACATATATAATAAAACAGCTGCAGTCTTTTGGGTTTGACGAAAGTATTTGGTTAATATAAATATACTAATAATATAATATACTATAATATATTTGATTAAGTTAAAAAAAAAGAAACAAAACATTTAAACAGAAACTAAGCCGCGGAAAATGCATAATTCAAAGCTAGAAACTAAATATCTGCATTAAGAATCGATTGACCTCCTCAGAAGCAGAGGCAGTTCTGTTAAGGGGTAACACCATTTGAAAGAATTTAAAAATTTTGAATTTTTTGGCAGTTTCTTAAAGTCTCAGATAAGTATCCCAGTTATATATTCTTATAGTTATGAACTTATACAGCGATTTAAAAATAAAGAAAGGCTTCTTTAAGTAAGGTTTTCTCGAAAGAAGGTCTTTGAAATCAAAACCCACTCGAAAACGATTAGTTTTGAATATTTGTATCTGCATTTTTTAAACCATAGATTAAAGCTTTATCTCTTTAATGCCTTTAGTGATTAATTTTACAAAATTAGGTAGATTTTAGGAAAGTTTTTAAAAGTAGCTAGGTTTAGTTTAAAATATATAATTTTTCTGATTTTTTAAATAAAAAAAAATAGCTTTGTTTAATCCAAAAAACTAAATATAAAACATGATTAATCTCTTTAAATGATTAGTTTTAGATTTGATCTTAAATAAATCCAGAATTGGCTAATTTCTACCCATGACTTCTATAAGAATAAATTAGCCGAAATGCGTAAAAAAGACAGTGTAGAGTGGTGTTACTCCCTAAAACACGTTTGACCTCCCAAGAGAGACAGTTCTGTAACAACTTTAGTAGCAACTAATCACCAAACACAAACTAGAAACAAATAAATGGCTCATTGCCAACATCCAAGTTCTAGGCCCAGTTCTAGAATCTATGTAGTTCTAGAATTCTCGCAGATATTTGTTCAATGAGTACTAGAAACAAGAGACGCTTCGAATAAACTTGAAAGTGATGATCTTGACAGACATCACTCGTCTGCGTCTCGGTCTGGGTCTGGGCCTGGGCATGGGTTCGATTTCAAACCGTAAACAGATTCCTAATTGATTTGTTTGTGAATCATTGAAGATGTTTTCAATATTTAGATTCAAAACTAATGGAGACTGTTCTTAGAGGTTCTAATTTTGAATAATATTTTAATAAAGATATAAAGATAGTCCCCCAACCCCACTTACGATTGCTGTCAATGGCCAAGAAGTGACGTCCCTCGCAGTGCCCGGCAATGCTGATGAACGTCTCGTGGCCCACCTCCTCGAACGGCTGGGGCTCGGCCTCCGGCTTGGACAGCCGCCAGGCATGCAGCTTGCCCTCCTGGCTGAGGAGCAGCACCTGGCTCTCGCTGCAGGCCACCTGCTTCACCTGGAACCGGCAATTCAGCAGCGGGGCCGACGGCCCAGACTCGCCACAGCTCAGCGCGGGCTCGGAGCTGAATCCCTGTTGGTCTTTGGAGAGAGCGGGCCAGCCCATGGCGTAGATGCGTTGCTGGGCGCCGTAGCCGGGCGAGGCGGCCGGGACCTGGCCTCGGAGCAGGCAGCGTGGCATCAGCGGCTGGGCCATGCGATCCAGGTGCGAGATGATGACTACGGCGGCGCGTCGCAAGTCCACAATGGCGGCACTGCTCTTCGGCAGCGACAGGAACCGGAGGAAGGTCTCCGTGGCACTGACCACTGGCGCTGGCTCCGCACTAGGCAGCTGGCCCGACTTGACGGAGGGAGGTCCGAGCTTCTGGTAGCGCTGCAGGATGCGCAGTAGTGGGGCGCCGGTCTTGCGGGGCATGTCTCGGTTGTCGTTGCCGGCACGATCCTTCTCCCAGAGCATCAGCAGCAGGACGACGCACTCCAGGGTGGCGGCCAGGGTGCCCTTCTGCACACCCAATTCCAGGAGCAGGCACAGGGCCGAGTGACGGTCGTTCTGCGGCGCAGTGCAGCGGCCACCCATCGGATCGCCGAGCGCCACCAGGCGCAGGAACTTGGTGGAGCGCTCCATGACCTCCACCCAGAGCGGCGACACCGAGGCGTCCTCGAAGATTGTGGCCTCCGGCAGTTCTTGTAGCGAGGCGAGGGCGTCGGTCAGCAGTTCACTGCACATCTCCGTGTCCTCGCCGGAGCGCCAGGCGCGTCGAAGAAAGGCAAAGCTGAAGTTCAGGGCAGCCCGAGTGGCCACGCGAGCCAAGCCGAGGGCACCGTGCTCTGCGCGCTCTGTAGGCCGCTGCATCTCCACGGCTGGTGCACCATTCGGGCTGGCTGTGCTGGCGACAGTTGAGTTGACGGTGGCGGTCGAGGCTCCGGGAAGGTTGTTGGTGGTGCTGGCACTGGGGTTTCCCGCAGCTGGCTGGACACAGCGTTCCCGCTCCCTCTCCCGCTTCAGGGCCACGAAATACCGCTCGTAGACGAAGAGCTGCTGGCGCAGGTGCTGGGCGGACAAACAGTTACCGGCCGCTCGCAGGGCCAGCTCCTGGAGCTCCGAGATCAGCGATCGCTGGCAGTCTTGGCGCGCCTGCTGTGTGGGGGGCTGACTCCAGAGCCAGCCGCTCAGGACGTGCTCGGTGGCCTGGCTGAGGTGCTGGGCCTGCTGGGCGGCCGCCTGGGTGGTAAGCTTCTTGATGGCGGTGTCAGAGTCCAGGGGCCGGCAGCCGTCGCAGTTGCAGGCGGAGTGCGGGCCGCAGTACTCTGGCTGGCAGCAGGAGCACTTCAGTTGCTGGGCACCGCAGTAGTGCTTGCCGTCGTCGCCCAGATAGGACAGCTGGCCGCGGGCGTTCAGGATGGGGGCGGCGGGCGAGGAGACCAGTTCGCAGTCCTGGATCAGGTGGTTCCATAGCACGGCGCCCTCGGAGGCATGGCGCAGGGAGGCAATGAGATCGGCGCGCAGCCATTTGGCGTCCAGAAAGCGAAGCGGCCGCAGGTGGAGATCCAAGGATGGGCTTAGAGCCGAAATGACCGAGCCAGAACCAGACCCAGATCCAGTTGCACTTCCACTGCCCGTGGCTGTGGCAGGCTGGGGCTGCAGGGCAGGCACTACTGGCTGTGGCGGCGGCGGAGGTGGCGGAGCGGTGCCCGTTACCGTTCCCGTTCCGGATCCAGGGCCAGGCCCCTGGCCACTTGCCTGGCGGTTGTACATGGCGTTTCTGTTTCGATTTTGGACTTTTATTCTTGGTTTTGTTCGATTTGGTTGTTAGTAGGAGTAGGACTCTGATGGGTGGAGAACGAGAATTTTTCTAGTGCTCCACACCCTCGTTTGGACTCAGCCTAGAAACAGTAGCATGGCACATTATGCCCCCTCCCAGGAGGGGGTGGGAGGGGTTGGTTGGTTCACGGGGGCGTGGCGGGTGGCGGGGGGCAGGGGCGGTCTCAATGTCGTCACTCACGCACGCAGCAGGGTAAAAAAAAAACAGCAAAACACAACAAAAACACAGAACTGCACTTCGGAGAGGAGACGGTTTTTTTCGCTTTTTGTTGGCGACTGTGGCCTAGGATGAATGTTGCTTCTCCTACGGGGCTTTGTTCGTTGTTGGGCCAATGTTGTGGCCAATCGTTACGACACGACGGAGTTCGACGGACAGGCGCACGACTCGTTCGATTTTTGAATGCGTCTAAAATGCAAAATGTTTTTGAATGTGTCTCTCTAGATCCAGTGGCCGATATAAGCAGTGTTGCCACCTAGATGCGCTTAAGAACCCACGGTGCTGCCACTCAGCCCAAACGGAAATTTCGGGAGGGGGTTGTTGACCCGGGAAGGTTTGAAAATCGAACAACGGGCCAATGGTTTATACTGAAGCTATATTTTTGGAAAATAATTTTCAATATTACACTTTATTAACTGTAAAAGGATTTCAACAAAGTGCCTCGCTTTAAAAATCTGGCAGTCTTCGCTGCAAATCCGACAATTATCCTTTTTTGTTGGATGAGAGAGATACTCCGAATTTCGAATTCCCGAATCGAACCTTTTTCAAACGCGTAGTAATTTCCTTTTTCTGATGAAAGATTAAAATGTATACCTCTTGGGTTGTAGTTTGTAATATATTATAAATAAGCGTGTTTATTTGAGTTACTAATGGTAAATGGTTGCATAAAAAAAATCAAACTAATATATTTACATTTAAATGTTTATATCCTGATTGATTCATATACTATCTTCGGTTCTTTAGATTTTCGGTAGTTTTGTTGTATTGTGACCTATTAAGGAACTTCTAAACTATGGGTTGTATTATAGTTATTTAAATTTTGATTGAAAATATATCTATGAGAAATTGTAATATCGTGAATATATATACATTTTTTTAATATTTCAACCTTTATTCCAATTATAAGCCAAGTTATGGTTTATTAGACTAAAATCTAAATTTAATCTAAAATATTCAACATATCTTGAGAACACATTGGTGAATTCCTCGACCATTTTATAACCGATTCGTAAACAAAATACCAAATCTGAATCATAGCATCAATTCTATATAATTTTCATTAAAATAAGCATTAAAATCTTTAAATTTAAAAGTTTTTTCCAAAATATTTCTTGAAAAGCTTTGAAAACTTAAAAAAATGTATCAAAAATATTGATACAGAATTATTCTACTCAATGTCGAAGATCGAAAAGGTATAAATTACCTCAAACTTTAAAGTATTAGCCGAGTGGTACGCAAATATAAAAAAAAAATTAAAACATAAACCTTTGTCTTTGTTTGGAAAAAATTACATTGTTAAATAAATTTGCAAAATTGGTTCAAATTTTGTCCACCTAGTGGCGCCGCATATATATCGATGTCTTATCGGCGAAGGGGGGTGCCATCTCTAGTTTGTAAAAAAAAGAAAATAGCAACTCGTATGTTTTGAAGCATATTTTCGCAATTTCCACACGCGGACAGCAGTCGAGGATGTCATTTAACACACCCAAGTAACGCTCAGAAACAGCCACACACCATGACGTCGCGCAACCTGACGGAGGTGTTCGTCATCATGCGAAACAATGCCTCCAAGAATCGCAGTCACTACGACGATCGGGTGAGCTGGAAACTAAAAGGGGTAAAGTCTGATTTAATTAACATACGTTATTTACAAAGAGGGGCAGCGATGCAGAGCGCCTGCTCAAGCATTCGGTACGCGAGGCGGAGGAGGGCCTGGAGCTGCAGGACGACTATGGGACACCACCCTCCTGGCTGGACAAGTTCGAAGAGGCGCAGTACACCATGTCCAAGTAGGTCTCTTTCTTAATTATACTCTTCTGTTTAATTGACTTGTTGGCTTTCTGCAGAATCAAGCCCAAGCTTGATGAGCTCGGCTCTCTGCACGCTCGCCATCTGCTGCGTCCAGCGTTCGATGACCAGCGGGACGACGAGTGCGACATCGAAGTCCTCAGTCAGATTGTGTCGAAGCTGATCACCTCCACGCACCGGCACATCCAGTGCGTGCGCTCCAGCCTGGGCGTGGGTAGCAAGATGGAACAGCGCCTCACCGCCAACGCCGTGCACTGTGCCCTGCTCCAGTTGCAGGAGCTGACGCTAAAGTTCCGCTCCAGCCAGAATGCCTATCTGCTGCAGCTCAATTCGCGGGAGGAGCGCTCCCAGAAGTACTTCGACGACGGAGCCGGCGGCGATGTCTTCACCAACGTGGAGTTGGGCGACCAGCCGCCCGACAACTTTGTGGATTCCTTTGACAATTTCCTGCAGCCAGTTAATGGGGCTGGTGCTGCACCCGGAGGAGGAGCTGGAGTAAGAACCGGTTCGCTGCTCTTCGAGGAGGACGAACAAGCCATCGACGACCACTTCCAACGACCGCCAGCCAGCCGGATGACCCAGCAGCAACTGCTGCTCTTCGAGGAGGAGAACTCCCGACTGGCCCAGCACCGCGAGCAGGAGGTCACAAAGATAGTCAAGTCCATATACGATCTGAACGACATTTTCAAGGATCTGGGGCATATGGTGCAGGAACAGGGTACCGTGCTGGACCGCATCGACTACAACGTGGAGCAGACGCAGACCCGGGTCTCCGAGGGACTGAGGCAATTGCATAAGGCCGAGATGTACCAGCGAAAGAACCGCAAGATGTGCGTTATCCTGGTCCTGGCCGCCGTTACCTTCTTCATGCTGCTGCTGCTCATCCTCACCAAGCTTAGTGGATAATCCAACAGCAATATAATCTATTCCAATCGTTGTTTCCTGTGTGTGTGTATATTGTGTAAAAATGTATGAATTACATGTTATATTTATTATTTATTACTAAAGCTATAAAAAAAACGCCACTAGCCTGCCCACAGTTCTCAGTCCGGGTCCCGATCACATGCGCTCCGAGAGGCGCGAGGCCACGGACCGCAGGTTTCCGTAGACCTTGTTGGGCGGGGAGCCCAGAATCAGGTTACAGACTGCTCGGCGCGCCAGCTGGATGTTCTGGTAGCTGCCCAGAATGTGAATCTTGCTGTCGGCGAGGACGATGCGGGTCTTGGTCACGTTCTCAATGGTGAACTTTGTGCGTCCACCCTTGCCCGCCAGTCGACCGATGGCACGCGACTGGTGGTCGCCGCGCAGCGTCTTCACATCCTTGATTTCGAACGATTCCACAAAGAGATCCTCCAGCCGGAGCAAAGCCAAAGCGTCGTCCACCTCGAAGCCGCACAGGAAGGCGCGCACAAAGTCGGCGCCTCTCTGCAGATTGGCAATGTCCGGAGTCTCCGGGCCCACACGCAGCTCCACCTGACGCGCCTTCATGTTGAAGCGAATCTGCAGCTTCATGTGCTCCACCACGGGCGTGAAGATCTTCATCCAGTGCTCCTTGAGAGAGGAGTATCGGTGCGGGGGCACGGACACCTTGCGCAGCTCGCTCCTGGCCTTCTTAGCCCGGGGCGGGCCCGATGCCCGTGTGGTTTGCGACGATCCTTCGATGCCCGTCGCCTCGTCCACCTGCATCTCAACGTCCTGCTGGCTCCCGGCGTTGGCACTGCGCTTGGTAGCCCTCTTAGTCGGCTCAAAGGCATCGGCCTTGATGTTCTCCACCTCCATTATTGAGATTTTTGGGGGAATTGCGTTGTTTTTATAAAAATTCGGCTTTGCTGTTTCCACGTGCGGTTCCAGATGCAAGGGCAGTGTGACCATTCGACGTTTGACCTTAAAATCGTTGGATATGGCACTTTCTCTTATCGCTATCGTTATCGGAAACCGTTATTGCTGTATTTCCAATCGAATAGGCGGTAAAATTCAGCTACTTTTCACTCTTTTTTTCACTTGTGGTAAGTAGGCTTCCACTGGCAAGTTTCCAGTTTAATTGTGGTTACCGTAAACTTGTTATCTACTTATCACCATTAACAAAGTTTCTTGGCCAACAATGAAAATTATTTTTGCATCAACCGCAAAGATAAGCAGCTTTTTTCAAGGAACTTAGCGGGGTGAGGGAGTGGCGATGCAGTTAAGTATGGAAAACTTAAGTAAAAGTAAGTAAAATGCGGCTACCAAAAAGCCAGGCGATAATCTCAAGTTTGCAATTGCACTGGCAATTTGTTTGTTATCTCCTCCGCTTTTTCCTGTTTCTCTCTTTCCCTATCTCTGTTCCTCTTTCTTTCTCCCCCCTAGTCTGCCACTGAAAAACTTTTCCCCAGTCTGAGCTATTTGCATAGGCACACCGACAAAAAACACAAAAAAAAAAGGGAAAATAATGCACCAAAACAGCCATAGACCGTCTATGCATATTTAAAAAACATCAAAACAGCCAAGATGAATCTTAAATCTTCTTTAATTCGAAAATAAGCGGTGCCTTATCACAAAACTTTTCATTTCTTTATTTTCACTTTGAGTTTTTAATTTTTTTTTTATTGGGTTTATCTTTATAACATTATTATTTACTTTAAAAATGTATTTTCGATATGTTTTTGAAAAATTTACTATACCACTTGGATAATACTACTAGGGTTGCCATGTTTAATATTGTGTCAAGTGAGGTTACCACTAATTTTATAGTGACTTTTTTATATATTTATGTATTTTGTTGCATATGTTTTAAGTTTAAAAAATATTTGTAACCTTGTTGAGTGCCTTGAGAATTTTTTTAAATGATAAACCACAAAACATTAGAATAGGTTCGCATTTATTTTAAATATTATAAAAATGTAAAATAGAGTAAATGTACAAAAAAATTCAATTAAAATATACTAATAATTCAGTATTTGCGATATACATTTTTTTTCAGTGCAGATAAAAGGCCGGACTGAAGGGGCGATATGAGTGCAAATTGCGTTCGTTGGCTTCCATTTGGCATGCACTTATTTGGGTTATCTGCTAGGCCACTTAATAAACTTAATGACTCTCGAAGCCTTTTGGCTGAGCAAGATTTTCCGGGAAATCGCCGAAAAGTGCGCTCAGCTCTTCTCTCTCCAGCTTGCCGAGTTTTCAAACCCCCACCACCCACTCCAGCCTCGGCGACTGGTCCTTTGACATCAGAACTGTTGTCCTTGACAACCGACCAACAAAATGAAAACGCGAAATACACGCGTAAGCGCTTCAAAGGTTTTGGGTCAACTGCATCAAAGTTATAATTAGTTAAGGTTACAACTCCAGGAACCTCGAATCCTGGAAACTCGCGAGTGCGAGTGTCCCTAAAACAGTTGAAAAATTTCGTCCACGGGAAATGTAATAAATATAATTTTGGTAAAATAATACAGAAAATGTTGGAAAATTTATATGGAAAAAATAAATGAATAGAGAAGTGAACAAGTTTATCAAATTATGGAATTAGATTTCCAAATTATTCCATTTAAAAATTTGAATTAGTTCCATTAGACTTTATAGCAATTTAGTTTTAATATAACTCTTTAATGTGCCTATTTTGTTATTTAAATTACTATTTTATTTCAAAAAATATTCATACCAATAATTGTACTTTGTATGAAGTATTCAATGAAAAGATTTCAAGATAAAAATAATAATTGATTAAAAAACCTCATACTTTTGAAAAAAAAAATTCGAAATTTGTGAAAGATTGAAGCATAAAATAATCTATATGAGATACTTGGAGATGGGAGATCCATAACCAAAGTATCCTGTATATGAATTCCTTTCTAGCTTCAATAAAAATTAAAATGAACAATTTTTTAAGACAAACTCCAAATTCCAAATAGATGTTTAGTCTACCTATATTCTCAAAAAAATGATTTAAAAATAATCTTAAATGTTGTTCCCTTTTATACTATTATGTTTTTATTATTGTTTCTAATTCGCCATATTATTCGCCTACCAGGATATTAGGTTTCTTTTAGTCCTTAGTCTTAGTCCTTTGGCTTTAGCTTATTATTAACATAATAGGGACACTTTCCGGACAATCTTTTGTTTTTACTAACATATGCGCTCTTTTGGGTTATAGCGCCTGTAAGGATGCCCCAGATCTACGTCCTTGGGCTGGCCTTTTCCACATAACCATATCCTCGGGGGCCGAGTGTGGAGAATTATTGCGGTGTGGGCGAATGTAAAATATTTTATTGCTCTGTTGTTCGCCGAGATTGAGGTGAACGTGGGCAGAGGCAAGGACCTGTGGCAGGAACCAGTTGTCATCTTCATCAGCTACAGTGGTTAGGGCTCTGAAATGGTACATAATTAAATATTTTTTTTATATAAAATATAAGAAATATTATCAACAAGCAATGGAATAAGTTTTAAAAAATTGCTTAAAACTAAAAGTCTCTTTCACTATAATTGTATCCTTGTCCACTGTTCATCAGTCCTGACGAAGATATAGAGCATTAGTTGTAGGGGCTAACCACTTGCATGTAGTTTGTTGTGGCTTGCCAGGAGCAGAGGCAGGGCCTTGCAACATGGAGGCGGTTTCTTGTCACAGGATCATCTCAGGTTCAGACACATCCGTGTTTTGCAGGTTGTACGAAATGCCGCAACATTTTATTATGGTTAAGCATGGATTCATTACGTTTCTCTCAACCAAAAACACTGAGAAAAATAAAGTAAAATATTTTTAATCCAAAAGGCTTTAATCAAAAAGGTAAAGGTTAAGAAGGTCCTACAAGGAATCATTTTTTTTAATGCGAGTTCAAATTTTTTAAGTGTAATCCTGGCATATCCTGGCATCCTTTCCGCAGGACAAATGAATAGAGTTGGCCGAGCCGTCGCAGTCGAGCCGTCGCTGGCTTCAATTGAGAGCAGAGAACGTGACGTGACGTGGGACCCGCACATGGAGGCGAATCCTTTTGGGCTGTCCAACTCATTTGGTGCTCGACTAATCGCAAATAACACACATCGATTACAAGGATACCGAAGCAGTGGGCAGTGGGCAGTGGGCGGGGAGGCTGGGTCGAAGGAATGCCAAGGATGGAGCTGAAACAGAAACAGAAAGAGAAACAATTAGCACGAAGCAGGACATAATTGGCGTGCAGTTACGGAGGCTGATTAAAGAAGCAATCATAAAATTAAGACCCATAATCCCGTGCAATTTGGACAAACACACACGCAAACGGAATGGAAAAGAAAGACTGGTGGATAGGGGAAAGGAGGAGAACAGGAAGGACCATAGGAAGGAGTAGAGGAAGCAGGATGGGAAGCAGCAGATGGAGGAGGGAGAGGAAAAGAATTCGAAGCCCAGTGGAAGCTAATAATAACCAAAGCAAACCAAACCAAAGCAAAACAAAGCAAGGCAAAACTAACGGCACCAGAAAACCGAAATAGAAGCAACAGAAAAGCAACAACAACAACAACAACAAGAGCAACACCAGTACAAAAATCACTTTACACGCTCCAAATACGTAACGAATGTGTGCGTGGGCCAGGGGCGTAGCCCAAAAGGGGCGGTTGTATTTTTTTCTATTTTCACTTTGTGACACATGTTTCTATTTGTAGGGTGTTACAAAAAAGAAATAGAAAAGAAGAAAGGAATCGAAATTTATTCACATTTTGTATGGATTTACTCTTTAAAATAGGTATCTCTGACCCAATAGTTGGCATCCCTGTTATAATTTTTAAAGTGTTACCAAAGGCATATAGTTTCTGAAAAGCAAACTAACTACCAGCTAAATTGAATGAAAACATTAAAAATAGTTTATAACATTATTAGATCACAAAATATAAAAAATTAAAATTAAAATTAATTAATTAGTTATTAGCTGGCCAAAAAGTGTAGTTTTCATTTAAAGAACTAAATATTTAGAAATATAAATAGAGGCACTATTCAAAGAAATATTGAAAAACTAGAAAGTTGGTGGCCCTATATTGGGATATGTTATAAATATTTTTAAAAGCAAATTATAAAATGATAGAGCTACTTAAACTACTTAAGTATATTACTTGAACATTCAAAATAATTTGTTATGTGATGTGCTAACAAATATTACAATTTTGAATGAAAATTATTTCTTAAAAAAACATGTTGGCAGGTTAAAAAAGCAGATACTTATTTTTTAAAAAGACAATTAAATAGAAGAGAAAGATAAATATATAACAACGTTAAAAAGAATTTATTAAATAACTTGAAACTAACTGAAACTAGTTAAAGCTCGAAAATAGTCCCAAACCAGAAACCCCTTTTGGAAAAAAGCGACTTACCTTCGCCCATGCTTTGTGAGTGTGGGGCTGTGGGTGTGCATGTTTGTGTGAGTTGTCCGGTGTCTGGGCTGCAGTCCCGTTAAAGAGCCAGGAGGTGTGGTCATGGAGGGGGGATGTAGTTGAGCTGGTGCTACGTGCGACGATTTGTGTGTCCGGGTAATGCCGTGCCACAACATCCAGTAACAACAGGCAGCAGCAACACCAGATCCGAGAGCAATATGAAACCTTCATTAGCGAATAGCGGAAGGTGGTCGAGTGACGGGCGGTGGGGTGAGAAGGCGGATGAGGGGCAGGGGGAGTGGGCGTAGAATGCCTTCGCTGAAGCCGCAACGGATTGAAAACACTTCCGGTCATACAAATTGTTCATGAAACGTGAGAAATTAATTTTCAAGGTGGCCACACAACGGCAGAGTCGCAGTCCAGACAGACTTGATCCTTGCCAGAGGAGACTGGCAGGACTCTGTTTCTTAAAATCAAAGCAGCACACAAATCATCAAGGAAGCCGGATTACATTTCAATTCAAAACGAAAATAATAATCCTTATTTTGATGAGTATTTGTAGGGAG